TTATTTTGACGTTTATAGAGTGCGTATATTTTCAGAAAGGCATTCATCAACATGGTCTCGAGTGGGTAGCACCACTTGAGTTAAACTGTCTAATAGCTTGCCTGTCTCGGCTGCATTTCCTGCCTACAAGGCTATAGCTTGATTGCAAGGAAAAGTATTTTTATATTAATCTTAACAATTCACGAGACTAACTTATCTCAGAAATTGACACATATTTAGTTCAAACTAAAGATTGTTAAATTCTTTAAGACTTTCTGTGAGGAAACCATAATTCAGTCTTCAATGGAACTCATTCGAAGCAAAGTCTCAAATGTAAAATTCATTGAGAAAAATATGAGTTCATTGGAAAATTCCCTTTTGGTGGAAGTAAAAGCGGTTGTATAGAAACAATACTTTTACATTAAAGCTTGGCTCATAAAGATGTTTTAGCTTAATTCAAGCACTGTGCAGAAAGAGGACGTCAACTTATAGAACCAATGGAAATACGGACGGATAAAATGATAAAATACTCTGCTAACCTATTTTCGTCAAGCAGCAGAGCAGACAGCCTGCAATCAATATTTCTTTCTATAAATTGTCTCTCTTCAACTTCGCCATGTCCTTACAATATGAGTAAACGTAAAACAAATCATACTGCAACGAGGAGTGCTTACGATTTCGTTGAAAGATTGTAATCAATTAGAATCAAACGAAAACAGAGCTTTGTGCTTGTAGGTGTTAAACATTTCACCATCGTGCAAGGAAATCATTAAAGCGTCGTTTTGGAGTAAGTTAAGTAATGACTCTCTCCGTGTGGAGAGCAACAGTAACTGATCCCCGAGGGTTGATTGTTTAAGTTACTCGTGCCGGGGAAGTGGTGAGGGGTGAGTGAGGGAGGGAGGGGGTGCTTGACATAACATGACATGTGTGACGTGAGGGCGGAGCTAAGGTATAAGTGATAGTTGCAACAACCCTCAAGTGACTTGGAGTCGTTAATAATATCTGATGCTTCACTAGGTCACAGAGGCGCATCCCTTCCGCGTTCCTTCTCAGTTTACTCACACGAGCAAGCCAAAAAAACCACGGTACTGTAGATGGTTGTAATGAATTACACGTTTTGAGCCATGACATTGTAAAAAGCGTTATAGTCACATATCCATTGCAAAATTATGTTTTGTCAATAGGTTCATATTTTTGCTTCTTTGTACAACTGACAATAGACACAGCCCGCTTTGACGAAGGTTGGCAAAAGTCTTCTTTGACACCAACGAAAATTATGACAATCCAAACTTAAAATTAATACAAATGAAGTACATTTGGTTCACGTAAATGAACTGTCAACTTGCAGTATCCTAAATCAATGGTACATACACCTGCTTCACACAAATGAGAAATGTTCTAGCAGTATCCAAAGTCAATGATCCATTAAGCTCACATAAATAAGATGCAGATTTGCAGTGTTCATAGTCAATGGTGGGCTTACTTCTGGTTCACTTAAATAAATGTCTATTTGCAATATTCAAAGTCGGGTTCACGTAAACGAATCGTTTACTTGCAGTATCCAAACTCAATGTCACATTTGGTTAACGTAAATGAATTGTTTACCCGATTGTTCAGATTGTTGTTGTGTCAGATTGTTCTTCCCTTTTTCTCGGTATGGTATTTTTGTAATGAGTGACTTTAGATGATTCGTTGCCTAACATATGTTACGACTCTTGTTTACCTTTTTTATCTCGCAAATAATGTCATGGCGACCAATTAACTCGTAAGGCCCATGTTAATTTTCTAAGAGTTTAAATTCACGTAGGGAAAAGCCCTGTGGTACGATTTGTACCATTTCAGATATATACCTTCCCATGGTTGATTACTATGACAGTTCAGAATTTCGTGCAGATCGCTTCTTGGGAGGAGTGTTTGTAAAAGAAAAGCAGGAGTGTGTTATTATAAGAGCTTCTCTTCGCTCCGTTCAAGAAATCTGGCAAAGTTTGATCAAATTATATCCATAAACAAGCCAACTACAACATTTTACAATATTCTCCATAATATTCTTATGGACAATAAGTAATATGGAATATTATTAAAGTTATTTACATGGGAATTTTAAATTAAAATTTTAGCGAATTTCCCATATAGGGAATAAGCTATTACCGTAGTACTCATGGTAAGACCTGGACGCGGGACCGATTTTTTTTTTCATTTTGAGGTCCCTAGAGGCCAAAAACACCATCCGTTCAAATTCATATATATATATATATATATTTATATATATATATATATATATATCTAATATATAAAATTCTCGTGTCACAGTGTTTGTCTGCAAACTCCTCCGGAACGACTTCACCGATCGTAATGAAATTTGGTGTGTAAATTCTGTAGGTATGCGAATCGGACGTAAACTATTTCCCGTTTCGAAATTCTTAAAAGGGCTCCGCCCCAGTGGCTCTGGAGTTTCCCATGTTAACCTTATGAGAAATGGAATTAATGAATCTTAACAGCTGTTTCAATTAAACAAGTTGGTTCTGTTCTATGATGTTCAATAGCATTAAAGTTACAAGGATTACCAACAGGGTGCAGCACTATTATTTCTTTTACATTAATGACAACAGCTAATTTGCAACCAAAAGGTGAGTGAGCGTAGCGAACGAACTTCAACCTGGAGGCGAGTGAGCGTAGCGAACGAGCTAACCTGGAGGCGAGTTAGCGTAGCGAACGAGCTCCAACCTAAAGGCAAGTGAGCGCAGCGAACGAGCTCCAACCCAAAGGTGAGTGAGCGTAGCGAACGAACTTCAACCAGGACGTGATTGAGCGATGCGAACGAGATCATCTTGAAAATTAAACGTAACGGTACTTTCTTTCCATCGGTCTGTCTTAGGGGAAACCTATAACTTAGGCGATACGAAGTTCGCCGGGTCAGCTAGTATATATATATATATATATATATATATATATGTGTGTCCGTCAGCACGATAACTCGAGCAAAAATGATCCGATTTTGATGAAATTTGGTACAAACGTGTAAACCTACGTCTATTCGAACGAGTTCGCGATCCAGCATGATCGGACCATGGGAACGGGTGTTTACGGGGGGTTTTATGGGGTAAAAATAGGTTTTTCCCAATTTTGACCCAAAAAACATAAAATTTAGCAATTAATTTCCAAACCATTTTGTAGAGCTTCAAAAAACAAATAATTTAGTATAATATTGAAGCGTTATTATGCGCCTAATGGTTACGGAGAAAATTCCAAAAAATTGTAAATTTAAAATTCCCATGTTATTCTTATGGAGAATGAGTAAACCGTTTTAGTTTGCTTGTTTATGAACATATTTTGATCAAATTTGGAAAATGTTTTTATTTCTTACTAACTATTAACATTTTACAAAAAAAAAAAACAGTTTTACCCTCCCTGATGCAGCAAACCTAAGTACTTGTTAAACTAATTCTATTTTAATCGGGAATAAATATTAAATTTTTAAGTAGACATTTCAGTGTAAATCCAATCAGTCAAATGGAAATTCGCTTAGTCTGCAGGTTTGCTGCGGCGGGGGTATTTAGAATTTTCTCCGTAACTAATAACTGTACAAAAACACTTTGATATACTAAATTTTCTTTTTTAAGCTCTTAAAAAAGTTCTGGAGAAAAGTTGATAAACTTTGTGTTTTAAGGGTAAAACTTTAGAAACCCAAATTTTTACCCAATAAAACCCCTGTAAAACCCCGTTTATATGTGGTCCGATCACGCTGGTTCGCAAACTCATTCAAGTTTGTCCCGCCTTCCAACTTCAAACCAAATTGTATCAAAATTGGTAAAAAATTACTATTACTACTAAATTAAGTTATCTCGTTCATGGACACACACACACACATACAGGATGTTTTTTTTTAAAACTTGCATCTTTATTTATGTAAAAACCGCAATAGATAGAAATATGCAGTTTGCGGGAATCATCTATTGAAGTAGGGGGCCCAATTGTTTTGAATTCAACGTTACATTCACATTCCCCCCCTTTCCCCCCTGCCCCCAACTTATTTTTTTTTTAAATAGCAAGGTACCCCTTGTGACATATCAAATGAAAGAGCATGAAAAAAGAAAATGTTTGATGAAAAAAATTAAAAATCGGTTCATAAATTTGCGAGATATTTTCCCCCCTTCCCCGGAACTTGATTATTTTTTTAATAGCAAAGTACCCCTTGTGACATATCAAATGAAAGAGCATGAAAAAAGAAAATTTTTGGTGGAAAAAAATTTAAAATCGGCTCATGAATTTGTGAGATAATCCCCCCCCTTTTTCCCCTACCCATAACTTGTTTTTTAATAGCAAGGTACCCGCCCTTGTGACATATCAAATGAAAAATAAATTTCACCAAAAATTTTCTTTTTTCATGCTCTTTCATTTGATAGTTCCGGGGAAGGGGGGGGAAATATCTCGCAAATTTATGAACCAATTTTTATTTTTTTTTTCATCAAACATTTTTTTTATGCTCTTTCATTTGGTATGTCACAAGCGGTACCTTGCTATTTAAAAAAATAAGTTGGGGGCAGGGGGGAAAGGGGGGGAATGTGAATGTAACGTTGAATTCAAAACAATTGGGCCCCCTACGTCAACAGATGATTCCCGCAAACTGCATATTTCTATCTATTGCGGTTTTTTTGCAAGTTTTTAAAAAAACACCCTGTATATATATAATAGTTAAAGGGCTTACATATATACAAATTTGAACGAATAGTGTTTTGGCCTCTGGGGAGATCAAAATGAAAAAGTAAATCGGTCCCGGGCCTAGGTCCATGAGACCTACTGTAATTTCTACTTCCCTACAGGGAAATTCGCTAAAATTTAAAGTCGAGGGGTTTGAAATTTTTTTCTAATTTATTATTTAACAATCACCTGTTCTTATTGTTTATGCTACATTAAAAGTAACAAAAAACCTCACATTGGTAACACAAGTAACAATGCTTCAGAAAAACTATGAAAAGGAAAGTAAACAGGTCTTAAATGTTAGTTTTTAAGCAAATACATGCCTTTTGGTGCTCGGTTTAATATAGTTCAAAATCCCATAGGCCTTCTCTAGCTGAGCAACAGTGGTTACAAGTTCCTGGCGCTTTTCCACGAAATCCTGTGATTCTTTCATCAAGTTGTAAGTGTTGCCGTTGTACAGTTGAGATATCAACTCGCAGTGAAGACGCTCCATGACAAAGTTCACAATGGAATGCATGATGATCTTCGGAACTGTGTCTTGAACGGTGATCTGTACGATGGAGAAATAACTTTGAATCAATTTGTTAATCAGTTGATAATCTCGAGTTTCTTTCGAGCTTTCTTCTTTTTTTCGAGAACTTTCCGTGACTTTTGTGAGACTTTTCTCCGAGAGTTTTATCGCAGGATGGAGTGTGATGCAGACACACTTGTCTTGTTTATAAGCTTTTGGCTCTTTCCCTCTCACACAGTTAGTAATAAAGTTCGGATGTCTTGTGTTAATGTAGGCTAACTGGACGTCTATGAAGTTGTCTACAATCTTGTTCGCAATGGGGAGTCGACTGCGGAGAAGTTCGGTGACGACACGGATGACTTCTTTCTGCAGTGTAGGATACCTCTCAAGTCCGATTAAAGGATCATAGGCGCAAGTCTGCACGATTCTACACAGCTCTTCATTGACAAGGTCGACACATCGGAGACAAGGTGAGCGAAAACGTTGGATCTGACGCTTCATTAACAGCTCGAACGTCACCTCAGGAACGAACAACCCGGGACTTGCACCTGATGCATTCTGGGTAGCGGTCAAGATGGCTCCTTTAGACAGCCCAGATAGTGCATCAATCGTCCGCAGCGCTTGGGCAAGCGCTTGAAACACGCGATTGATTCTCGCCCCTCCAGACAGCTCAGTGGTCTGGATGTTCTCCGTGTCACCCCTGATGATCGAACAATATGTTTTTGAAAATTTCGACACGATGTCAATCAACAACGAAGGCTTGTCCAGACTCATATCACCCATAGCTTTGAGCTCTTCTTGTTTCTTGGACAACTTTTCTTTGACGTTCTCTTTCAGTTTTGGTAAACAACTTTTTATGTGTTCGGTTAAAATTCTCTGAACAGTCTTCGTCAAGTAGGGTGTTCCGTGGTTGCGCTCAACCGCTCTGTAATGATTGTGGAAAAACTCTGCTTCTTCTTTCAACGCTTTTTTCATGGATTTATTTTCCATTATGTCTCGTTGTGATCGGTTGACGACGCCGATTATACCCAGTTTGACCGGTATGATTTTCCCAGACAGGATGTCCCACGCGTCTGTGCCTTCGTCCATGAGGTCCAGCTTGGTGATGACCGCCAGAGTCCTCTCACCTTCAGGATCTACGTCGCGAGCCAACGCTAGACTCTCGCTCGTCGTCAGGTCCGCATTCGCAGGAGTCACAGCTAGAATTATACTATTTGGGTTTCTAATGTATTCAAGCACTATGTCCCTGGTTTGTTTTTCGATGTCGTCTGGCTGATCACCGACGGGTATTTTCGTCAACCCGGGAAGATCTACTAATGTGAGGTTTAAATAGGATTTAGAGTAAATCTTCAGCGTGATTGGAAGATGACAGATACCTTTGTTGCTTCCAGCGAGCTTCACGGTTTGCTTTTTAATTTCATTAGAAATCAGTTTGAAGTCCGTGAAGACTTTTGTCTGGTCGTGTTGGAAGATTGCGTATTCATCAAGGACATCATTGGACGAGTGTACAAGCTGCAGGACTAGAGGACATCTAGTCACAACCCCGACACCTCTGGGTAGGAAGGACTTTCCCACTAGATGTTCCAGGACGGAGCTCTTTCCTGCACTCTGAGAGCCTATCACTACTACCTGGGGAAGGTCGACGACTTGACCACTGATCAGAAACACGTCCTGTAGCTGGTTGATGATCTCCACTAGTTCGTTCATTCTTACTAATTTCGGTGTATTTTGAAGGTTAAATTAAGTAACAAACTGTCACTTGGCTTACTCGACAATAAGGTGTCATGTGTTCATCGTTTTTGTTTACCACATTCGTTAATATTAATGAGTTGTTGTTAGGGACAGGGATAGAGGAAAGTCATGAGTATAAGTCATCGATCTCTATTAGATCGATGGTATAGTAATGGTTTAAATTTTGACAATGTAATTTTTCATTGAGACAAAGCTATTATTCATCTCTCTAGTCTCACAAATTGCATTTATTTTTGACGTAGTGTATAATATAGACATAGTCAAATGTATTTTATATGTACTTTGTCTAAATCGTTTAAACCTAGTTCTGTCATATAAACATATACGTCGGCAATTCGTGACGCTGTTAGTCGTGGTTAAAACCATTGACTATATAACACTACAATGGCAAAGCATCAATAAGCTACCATTTCGCTATATTTTACATTAAAATGCCCTCACCACAGTAAACCTGCAGACTATTCGAAACTACATTCGTCTGATTGGATGTTTAAGAATATCTTCAAGAAGGGTTAGCGGATAAATAAGGTTTGTTTTTTTGAACACCGTTCCAACGTTCTACCAATTTCCCATCTATATGGACCAGCTGTAGCCAATTTTTTATTAAAAAATAACGTAGTTGTGTGAGCCAGTCACAGAATGCGCCAGTGTCTAAAATTTTATTTTATACCTTATTTTTTGTTGCACACCAGGTTGATGGGTCATAACAGTTAGTTGCTATAATTCATCATAAGTCATTCCCTAAATAAGTATTGGTAAAAAAGATCGTGTATTCGACAGAATTTAGTAATTTAGATCAGCGCAACCTGAAGGTGGCTCACATCAACTACGAAGATTTTGATAACAAATCTGGCTACAAATTTAACATGGGGATGGAATGTCTACCACGTACTGAGGCAGCACACGCTGAGTAAGGTAGTACCATTGACTATTATTGGATACTGAAGGTAGTACCTGAAATGTCATTTTTATAAGAGATTTGTTGTTTCATATTGTAAAGATCGAACACTGCAAGTTATGATATTTATTTTTATTCCAAGAATAGTATCAAAAGTATCCCTGTTACATTCGGGAATGTATTTTACTTATTCAACTGTCAACAAATTATTGCAGCTTAGGTTCATTCATCGTGGAGTTATTTAAACAAAAATTTAAACCATAACTCCGGGTCGGAAACAATAAACGTATAACACACAATAATCTGTGCGTTAGCTTCTTCTCACTCTATTGTTTGAAATTTCGATTGTAAAAAAATATATAGGAACCTCACGTTTTATTTACAACTAATTTTGGCTTTTATTATTTAAGTTTCAGTGGAATTTAAATTTATGATGAGAATGTTAACCTGGCAATCCTCATGACATTAATATATTTTGTGTAGTTAGTTCCGTATGTTTTTGTAATTTGAAACGGTTTCCGCGCCTAAAAAAAATTCTTTAAAGGTATTTTCTTGTTTATTAAGATCGTAGGAATGTTTTAAAAACGTTTAAAAGAAAAGTCCAGAAAGTTCAGAAATACCGAAACTATAAACACGAAATGACAGGTTAATCGTAGTTATAATAGTCAATCAGCTGCTCATAGTATTATTATCTTTAAGTGTTGCCAACCTATTTCCAAGCGTACACGGACTACGTGCATAATAGAACCACGCTGTTTTGTGTTGTTTCGTTGGAATCCTGATGTGCGGCAAAGTATAAACCGTACGGCAAAGTATAAATATGCAGCAATTAGCAGCTTTCTGTACTATAAACAGTACAAGGAAGCCAACTTTGTCGGGTGACTGTAGGAAAATAACTATTGTTTCTTTTTCCTTTTTATTTTGCTCAAGCAACATGGTTACTTAGCAGCCGATAAGGCTAATGTTAAAAAGTTTTGACTTTCAATTTAAATTTTTTAAGTAATTATATTTTTTCAGCAGTTTTAACTGCAATAAACACGTTTTTAGGCCAGAAATTAATTATTTACAACGTTTGAAGGAAATCGTCGAAGCTGTTTCGAGATCTTTGTGCAAGCAAGCTTACAAGCAAACATTGCTCATATAAAATAATAAGGCTATAATAAAATAATAATAAATAAAGGATATGAGTGAAGGATGAGTGTAAAATGCAGTGGGATGATCTGTGTAGCTTTATTACTGACTAAGATCAGCTGTTTCATTATCCAGGATCATAATTGAAAGCCTAATGATCGGGGGCAGCTGGGTCCAGTTTTAACTCATCAAAAAGCTACTGACTTTTCTCATGATCTGTTTGACAACCTTTTTATTGCTATGTGAGCACCATAACTACTCAGCTACCCATTAGGGTACACAGCAAGTGTGTCAAATAACACATTCAATAAACTAAGTTTACATTATCAATATGTAAGAATGCATCTTGTTGTAGGCCGCGGCGATGAGCGCCCTCTGGTCGTCATGACGCCGCGGTGACGCATCATGGAGGACCCTGGGTTAGACTCCAGTGGTCCGTCCACAGCCTCCCTGGGGACCATGTCTTCAGAGTCCCGGTGTTCCAGGAGCTCGTCGGAACCTCCCATCTCCAGATGCACGACCTACGACTCCTCCGACAAACAAACGGACTCCCGGTGTTCATCGGGCACTCCTGACTCGAGGCGTCCCTCAGATAGTATCTCCGGCACCGACTCCCCTCAGTCCCCGCCCCCTAGCTCTCTGGAGGTACCAGATGACAAACGCAAGAGACGTCGCAGCATCGATAGTAGGGTGTCAAGATGCAGCGTCAATTCTACCAAACTGAAGAGTCTAAAGCAGCTGGCGGACAAGGCTGTAGAGGTTAGTGGGTTAGGAAATGGGAATGTGGTTTTGTATCTTCAAAATTGTTACCAAGCAGTTCACCCGCTCGAATTAATTTTAAGTGCCTCTCGTAGGTAGTTTACGTTAATAAATTTACATTATACGAGTAATGTCCATTGGTCGAAACTCGACCAAAAATATGTAATGTACTCACTTATGTTAATGTTTCACCCCACACTGTAAATAAAACATGTGATTGGAGTTTCTTCCATTTGTTTTGATTTTCTGTTTATATTTCGTTGTTATTTCGTCGCCATGCTGGCAACGCATAAGATCCATGTAAATTTTTTCAAAATTTTAAACTCATTTTTGCGCTTATCTTTGAGCCTATTTAAATTTATAAAGGGATTCTGCACACCTACAGGAAAATAGCTTTCTAACGGTATGCGTAGATTTTCCCTACGATGCACACGAGCTGAGAAAAAAGGTTTTAAAGAAACATGCTTGCCTATTAATATATAGACGAGAGGTCGTCCAGTGGTCGAAACTCGACCAAAAATATGTAATGTACTTACTTCTCTGTTTTCACCCCACACTGTAAATAAAACATGTGATTGTGGAGTTTCTTCCATTTGTTTTGATTTTCTGTTTATATTTCGTTGTTATTTCGTCACCAGCATGGCAACGCATAAGATCCATGTTAATTTTTTCAAATTTTTAAACTCATTTTTTGTGCTTATCTTGAGCCTATTTAAATTTATAAAGGGATTCTGCACACATACAGGAAAATAGCTTTCTAACGGTATGCGTAGATTTTCCCTACGATACACACGAGCTGAATAAAAAGGTTTTAAAGAAACATGCTTGCCTATTAATATATAGATAGATAGATGCCAAAGAAGATTCCGTAAACACTTTGAGAGCCTGCAATTGCTGAGACTTTCTTCTACGAACCAGTATGAACTACTTCTACTTCTGTATGAACTAGAAGGGTCTTGCGACGTCAAAAACGGTCTCGTAAAAAATCGGACAACAACAAAACAAATTTATTTGTGCCTACTAAGTAAGTATTGTGCTTTTCTTATACAAATAGTAACTACTTGTATTACTAGGGGATGTTTCCGTGTCAAATAAGGTATCATAGGGTAGAGATACTCTCAATGTATTCTTCGTGTAAAAATCATAAATACTTTTGTATCAACAAACGGGTGTTGTCTACGTGTTCTCTATTTTTCTGTAATCGTTCATCAGACATGTGTTAAATTGCCTATGAACTAGTCAATTTTCACCAAACATATCCTTCCCGACAATGGCCATAGACGATTTCCTCCAGTTTCAACAGATTCGCAACAACATTAACATTTGCCAAGGGGTGTTTGACCCTGTTGTTCACACCTAGTGACCTTGTTACGAGCTGCAGACACTGTTGGGTCGATACTGACATAGCCACAACGCACCACGCACACGAGTCTGTTGTGTTGTAGCACCACAAGACGTTCACGATCCTGGGCAGGTTCCCGTCCATCAGGGACGCGCTGAGAGCCAGAGGCTGGGTGCAGAACTTTGACGCGCTCTCCCAGCAGCGACCCCAGCTGCCGAACTATACGAGGCCCGTTCATAAGGATGAGGAAGGTAGGTTCTATGCATTTGTTTTGAGTTTACACATTTACTACTTTATGCGTGTGTGTTGATGGTAAGTCTTAAACAAGAGTTATTAAGAAATGCGGCCACTGTTCCAAAAAATTCAATTCTCTGGATAGCCACTGTAGCCGAGTGGTTAGAGTGATAAACTTCAAATTTAAGGTTGCTGGTTCAAATTTGTGTAGGATTAATTAGTGGACCCGGATGCCATTTGTCATTGGGCTAATTATTGCTACATACCTAACAAAAAGACGATATGTTAACAAGACCAGGTGTATGTTTGAACATTTAATTACCTTGCAAAAGTTCACTAGCAGTGAAAATCAAATCACGAAAAGAAATGAGTTTATTTGGGACTTTTCAAATTTACCGTGATCAAGCCGTATAGAACTTTCTCCATACTGACTGAAGTAATCTACCAAGCGAAATATTGTTTCCAAGATTTTCCACTCAAGTTTTATTGCGATAACCCCTTCGTATTGGTTCAAATGTATCCTATTCCGCCTTTTGATTACGATTTTACATTATTCATACAGCGATGATAGAAACGTGATTAGATTTATTGAATATCTAAAAAGCGGGGAACATAGTAATCAATATGACGACTAAACACTATAACACACCTTTAATAACCAATAACTTTATCAAAATAAAGTGTACATATTACTTCCGTTTTGATTATTTTACTTAACGTTGGTATACGCAATCATAAGCAACTTATAACAAGCAATGAGCTGCAAAAATTACTAAAAAAACATCAATATTACAAGCTCTGACAAATTTTCTAGTCCCTGGTATCCTTTCGGTAGTAATTTTTTTATCTGTAACTTTTCAACTAGGCTAATAATGCGACTGCGAATTTCACTTTAGCACAGGGACAAATACAACATTCATCTTTTATACTCTACATCTAGGTATAACCTGAAGAGTAATATGGTTCAGATAAATCCAGGTAATTTATTTAAATATACCTAATAGGCCTACCTGTAATACGTTTCTTCTTCACTTTTTCTAAACTTCTAACGAGTACTAAAAATGTATTCGCTTACGGTTTGAAGTCTTTGGTTCCCTAGAATAAATGTAAAAAAACATCTAAAACTCTCAAACTACAATCATTCATACTCATAATAGTGTTACTTAAAATACTATGGAAACTCCATAAAATTTCTAGCCATTTATAAACGAGATACAGACCGCGGCCTGTAATGTAGCAGTTTTCCTGAAGTATGTAGCTTTTGATGATGACCTAAAATAAGTGTTTGGTTTTCCGGCTTTCAAAAAATATTTTCAACAGCAATTTCAATGACTGAAATTGTTCTTATGATTGCATCTACGAAATCATTGATCTTTCCATACCATCCGTATGAAACAAAACGAATAATGTGGGTTAAAGATTATTCTGAATAACAATTTATTTTTTTTTATGTTCTGATACAATTAACAGTCTATTCCCCAAGAAACTACGTTATTTTTAACCACGTGCAGATTTTTAACGTGGTTTATACATTAAAGTTTCTTGGCTTACCAATATTATATTTTATTTTCGTTATCAATCCCACTCATTGATGACGTGTTTTGAATACAAACTAACAACGTCTTAGAACAGTTTGTAATCGTTGTATTTAGGGCGCATATAGAACGTAAGTTGTACAGCTTATGCGTCGGTTGAAGCGTTCTGATCGTCAACGACTATTGTCATTTATCGACTGAAGGCCTACCAGTACAGCGCGCTGACATGCACGGAGCACGTCGCCCTACACTTCTGCAATAGCCGTGTTGATCATTACTACAGCTCCCTTCAACACTAATTATGCTGATAAAGAGTTTCCTACTTACTTTACACAAAACATACAGCCGTCTACAAGCATTATTGGCAGATAAAATAATATCGTGTCTACTAATAAATTATGCAATATCTATCTACTGAGTCAGGTTTATAATCTAAACAGAGATTTTTCTTTTAAAAGAAAATATTGCAGAATCGTAAAAAAAATCAAATTAAATAATAACAGGATAATAATGACATAATTATAAGCGCACGCCTGGGAGGCCTCATCACACTTATAAATATAAAATATTGTTCCTAACCATGTTTTCATAGATTGGTACTGTATTGTAGGCCTACACTGTAGTGGAGTATTTGTGATGATTCCGATGGCGGTAGACGAAAACGATGTCCCCGTGATGACAGGAGACGTTAACGAATGACGATTTTGCCGCGATCGCGGGTGACGTCAATCATGTCCCCGTTATAGCGGGAGAAGTTCGCGATTCATCCACTATCTTCTATATCGCGATCGCAAAAAATCGTGAACATTCCCGCGAGTGCCAAGACATTCAAGGTTCGCTTCCTCCGATTGCAGCAAAATCTTGAACCACGACAAAATTATTACATGACAACCAATAAACATAAACCGACATTATTTACCAAGCCTTAGTTTTGGGGTTTCTTAAAAAGACCAGTAAAACTACGTCCAACCTTCCCTTATAAGTTCACAAACCTTTTCTGATCCACCCCATGGCAAGGGAAGTAAAAATATAAGTGTGCCAGCTCCTCGTCCCTCAACAAATTCCTGGACCCGCCTCTGCTGTAGGGAATGTAGAAATTCTCTTGTTGGATCACCATTATCTTTTTAAATGTTAGTTGTTTAACTTTTGAGGCCAATCTTGACATTAAATGGCCTGATTTATAAAATAACGGTATTTAAGTCGCCTTATTTAATAAAATTTCTCATCTATATGAGTACTGTAGATACAGTAAAAAAATTATGTAATAACTAACAAAGCTTCGTTACCATTTTCAGGCCAGACAGTACAGATTATATTTAGAAACTCGCCTTTGGCTTTTTATTTGAGCCAACCTGGGAAAGTGCCTCAGGGATAGGATACTTTACTCACTGTATCCACAAATAGTTGGTGGGATATAAACGCCCCCCCCCATAATTTAAGATCTTGATGATATTTTCCATCTGTGACAGGGAGTGGACCCCCTATGAGTCCCACCTCAGAGGAGTCCGCTGACCGAGACTCTCAACTTATCTCTCGTCTGCTGCGAGACACTCCTGTCAACTTCATCTGGGCAATGGGTGACTACATAGACTGGAAGTACCTCAGCAAATCTACCATAGTCAGCCGCTTTCCTAGGGTCTACTTCACCACTAAGGTTAAACAAGTCTATTTTACAGTCACAAAAGATCCACATAATTAAATTGATTTTTTAATTCAAAATGTACTTTTACAAATTCAAATGAGTGCTATGGATTGAATTATTGCCAAAAAAACAAAATTTAGCGTTCAAATAACGTACGCTACTGAACCGGATTATGCAAATGCCATATGTTCAGGGCAAACTGAAAAAAACCACAACTTGTTTAGTTATTATTACTCTAGCCGTATCAACTTTAAACTATAGCGTGTGGTGATTGGTTATTTTGTGTGTGTATGATAGTGTGTACCAAGTCTTAAACCAGAATTGTTCTGCAAACAGTCACCAGACCGAGACCCTAATTGTTTGGTAGCCAAGTGGTAATAGAGCGCATAACTTCAAATCAGAAGGTTGTTGGTACTCAGCAAAACCGATTCTGAATCCAGATGCTATTTGTCAGATGGCTACCAAAAATATATGTTTTCTGACAGAGGATCGACTTTAGACAGTAACAAGACCAGGGTTAGGCCTGTTTTCTGACCAAAATCATAAAAGTACCATTGAGGTAAAAATTCAGCAAAAAGGAAAATATAAAATCCTTATTTTTCTTGTTAATCTTGCATCACTAGCATTGCCTCATCTCTGCAGGTTGGGTTGTGCAACTACCTGCAGCAGACACATTGGTTCTGTGAGGCCGGAGTGTCCAACACATTGTTCCCCAGGTGTTACAACATAGCCACTGAGGATGACCTCAACGCCTTCATCACAGACTTCCGCCTGACCGCCTGTCTAAGCCTGCTGCACCTACTGGTCCAGGCGATAGACAATGACCAGCCCGACACCTTCTCAGAGGACGGCAAGGTCGGTTGTCAGTGTAGAAAAGTGATAAAAGTAGATTTGGTTTTGCAAGTGACGGCTCAAAATTGAGTGTTTGGGGTTTTTTGTTGAGAGGTCAATCAATATCGTCATGAAAAAAGCTTTTAACCATTGACTATTGATTAAATTAGGCGTCCCTCATGTGAGAGCTGTAGCCAGTTTTGTATAAAAATGTTCATAGTTGAGTTGAGCCACCAATGCAGTGGTCTGAAGTCATTGGCCCATTTCTGTTGAATACACCAACTTTTTAAACAAAGCCAATCTAAAAGTCTAAACAATAGATTGAAAATTCTTTTCTTGGGAGGGTAATTAGTCAATGGTATAGTTGAAAACTATCTTTTTAACATAATTTACATCTTTATTGTCATTATTAATTAACATTTTAAGTCATTGACTATAATTTATTATAGTAACAAAATCTAAGGGAGAAACACAATTTAGACAGAAGGACCCTATGTGAGTGGAAATGTTAAACTATTATATGTTCTATTTGATTAGACGATTGGCTGTGGCTGGGATGTCTACTTCAGTATCCAAAAGTTAATGATTGATCATCTTGCCTAAAGAATAATCAGTAACACAATTAGTTACAAACAAGAGCTCGCCCCGTGGTCAAAAACTCAACCATTTTGTTCAAACTTCTGTATTTTCACCCCACGCTGTCAATAAAACATGTGATTTTATTTCTTCCATTTGTTTTGATTTTCTGTTTATATTTTGCTGTTATTTTGTCTCCAACATGGCAACCCATAAGACCCACATTTATTTTTTTATTTAGATTTTTCAAACAACGGTTCTCATGGGAAAGATTTGAGACCAGTGACCACGTGTCTAAATACAATGCTCTCCTACATTTAAGTCAAATACTGTATGCATTTAAACGGTCCGTTTTAACAAGTTTTTGGGGACGTCGGTTTAACCGGAAAAACTGTTATCCGGAGTGGCCTCATTCCCGAGGAGTCCGGATAAGAGAGAGTCTACTGTATACTGACTCATGCAACACATGTCCTCAGGTACCACTCACAGCTGTGGAGTTCGCAGCTCGACGTTGTACAGAGTTTGTGAGTATTCAGGAACACGAAGACATTGATGTGAAGGAGACAGAACACATCTGGGACCACCAATGGGACCAGTTTCTCACCTGGTACTACCAGCTGTCCCATGAACGTGCTGCGTTCCTACCAGCCACCGAGACACAGAGGAAGGTGAGATTGTGAAATCAACTTGACCATAAATATTTTTACTTTTTTGACATGTGTCAAATGCCATTGCATTTCCCAATCTATAGGCTGCAACCTACTGGTTAAGTGGTTGACCCACTGTGGGAACAATTTGGGTAGGTCGCTAGAAGAGAACAAACATTGGATATGTTTTTTAACAGACCTGAAAATCAGGCATTTCTTTACTGCCTGAAGGTAGGTACCATGATAGCACCATCTATGAATGATCTACTAAAACGAATTTTATGTTCAATGGGTTTCTGATATGAGTACTGTGTATAAATGGAAGTAAATTACAAGATGAAAAGCATAATGTGTGTAAATTAATAATTGTGTACCAGTTTCTATTTGTATGATGTCTATTCCAATTCATAAGTAACATATTGCTTGGTACAGTACATTATGTACAATACCACAAACAATATCTTTAAAGCAGGGATCCTAAATTAAGTATTAATGGATACTTAAAGTACACACATTGAATTACATTTAATAAGTATAAAAGCATTTAGTTCAGGACTCTAAACAACAACTAAACAAAGGACAACTAAACTTAATATTGGAGACTCCAGTTCCCCAGTTAAATATGGAAGATTATAGATGCTGGAGGGGATGGTCTAAGATGGTATTCCATACAGGCAACAAACACTCTTCACCCACTACCAGAAAGATGATCAACTGGGTGGAGCATGTAAAATAAATAGCTTCACTACTCCAGCCAAGCACGCAGATGATGGAAAGACAAACTTGAACTCAGAATCTTGCGAAGGATAAACTGGAGGAATACCAATCAACAGAGAATGCTAGACATCAAGGACTGTAGAGCGGTGAAAGCAAAAAGAAGAAAACAAGATGAATGAGAACATTTTAGGATTTAGTATTGTAATGTGTAGTATAGAATATAGTATTAGTATTTCATGTGTCAAGAATTAAGAAGGTACTGTAGCGTCTCTAGTAATAAGAAACCATGTATTAATATTATTCTCTGACCGAGTGAGAAAGGATCATTATAATTGTAAATATGTGGTTTCCCTGGACACTAAATTAAAATACCTAGCTCAATAAAATAAAAGGGCAAACTGAATTATTAAACTCAACACTTTTAATTGAACCAACTAAAGAAGACATAGATTAAAACTATTGTTGTTTTTAACAACACATTTAACAATTTAACCATCTGGTATTCATCATTGAAGTATAACATTAAAAACAGACATGTGGCAAATATTAAATTGCACTCAACACCCCTCCTCAATTTAATAATTTTACATTTGACACAGTTAACAAACAAACAATCCTAACATCTTTCTCAAATTGCCAAACCGAGGTGCAGGCAGACTTTTTGTAAAAATGTCTGCAATCTGATTTTCCGAACATATATATTCTGCAGACATGATTCTCCGCTGGTGAAGTTCCCGCACAAAATTGTATTTAACATTCACATGTCTCAATCGGCGATGCTCCCACTTCTGTAGAAGTCGTATGCAAGATTGATTATCTTCCAGGATGCGGATTGGTAACTTAAGCAAAATTTGAAAATCTTCTATCAGATACTTCATCCAGAGTAATTCGGCTGCTGCTGTTGCCAAAGCTACATATTCCGCCTCTGTAGATGATAACGCAACACTAGATTGCTTCTTTGTTGCCCAACTTACAGTACTTCCAAACACTTGTATGAGATAACCTGAGGTCGATCTTGAATCTCCACTTTTATTCCAGTTTGCATCAGCGTAAGCCAGAATAATGTCATCTTGTTTGCTCTTTCGATAACATAATTTTAAGTCGATTGTTCCTTTTATATATCTTAGGACTCTCTTCAAACATTTCCAGAGTTCTTCTGTTGGGTCACTTTGATGCCTGCTTAGGAAATTTACTACAGCACTCAAATCTGGCCTTGTACCTAGCATTAGCATTGCATACATTAAGCATCCGATTACTTCTCTGCACGGCTTATCAGTCCTTTTTCCGCCTTTGATTTCTAGTTTTACTTCCATTGTCGTTTTGACTGGGCAACAATCTTGCATGTTAAATCGTTTAAGAAGACTCTTTAGGTAGGCAGTCTGACTTAAGTACATTTCCCCCTCACTCCTGGAGATTTCGATTCCCAAAAATGTTTTTGGTACTCCCAATTCCTTGATTTTAAACTTCTCATTCAACTTTACTTTAATTTCCTTGATTTTCTCCCTATTATTTCCTGCCATGAGAATATCATCAACATAGAGCACAAGATACACGACAATATCATTTTGTATCATAACGTAAAGACATTTGTCGGATTCTGATTGGGTGAAACCAACTGAAATGAGAAATGAATGAATAGCTTGATTCCATGCTAATGGTGCCTGTTTCAAGCCATATAGCGCCTTTTGCAATTTGCAAACGGAGCCGGGTGTTCCTTCAACTCCTTCAGGAATGGACATATATATTTCCTCCTTCAGTTCACCATGAAGAAAAGCATTGTTGACGTCTAATTGTTCAAGAATTAATCCACGTTCGTTTGCTACAGCCAGCAACACCCTAACTGTTGCAAGACGAACCACTGGAGCATATGTTTCTTCATAGTCAAAACCCTTTCTCTGTGAACATCCTTTGATAACAAGTCTTGCCTTGTATCGTTCAATATTTCCGTTTATGTCTTTCTTCAATTTGAAAACCCATTTACTGGAGATAGCTTTCCTTCCAGGTGGTAGTTCAGTGTAAGTCCAAGTTTTGTTTTCCTTTATAGAGTTAAGTTCTTCCTTAACAGCTTGATACCAATGATCCTTATCATCACGTGCTGCAATATCCTTGTAACTTTGCGGTACATCATCGACAAAAGATTCAGCATTCAGAGCAAGAACTGCATAATCCTGTAAGTGTCTTGGCACATTCCTCTTTCTGGTAGAGTGTCTTATTGTTTCTTCTTCACTTACATGATCTTCAATTTCTTCTTCCTCTTCTTCAAGATCTGGTATAGAAATTCTTTGATTTTCATCAGACAATGATCTGGGTTCTTCTTTGTTCTTGTCTTCCTTTTTACTCGATCTGGATTCATGTACATGATCGGGAATCCAGTCTTCAATTGGTGTGCTCTCAAAGTTAAATTTTTCCTCATAAAACACAACATTTCTTCCAGTGATTATTTTTCCTTCTTCAGGACACCACAGTCGATAACCATTAGGACAATATCCAGTAAAGTAACACTTCAAGCACTTGCTGTCAAATTTACTCGATATTAATTCCTTAGGTAACAGCAAATATGCTGCACAGCCAAAAACTCTTAACTTACTAAGATTAGGCTTCTCATTGTACCATAAAGCAGCAGGGATTTTTCCTCCTAAAGCAGATGTCGGACTTCGGTTGATTAGATATACGGCAGTTCGAACAGCTTCTGACCAAAATGTCTTACCTAATTCACAATTAAGTATTAAACAACGAGCCCTTTCAACAATAGTCCTGTTCATTCGTTCTGAGACACCGTTCTGTTGAGGAGTATATCTGATTGTGAACTCATACTGAATTCCTTGCTCCTCAAAAAACTGCTTCAACTCATTTGACATGTATTCACGACCATTGTCACAACGAAATCTGCTAGTCTTTAGATTGAAATGAGATGTAGCCAAAGCATGACACATCTTGACGTATCGTGTGACTTCCGCCTTCGATTCTAGAGCATAGGCCACCGTAAAATGAGTAAAGTCGTCAATAAAAGTGATGATATATTTCTTACCGTCAAATGAAACTGGTGAGATTGGACCACACAAATCACTGTGAATCAACTCAAGAGGTCTGGTGGCACGTCTCCTGTTCTGATTGTAAGGAAATTGTGATTGTTTCCCTTCAACACACTTTGAACACTTTTCTAAGGGTGATGTTGAAGTATTCAACTCCATCCCATCTACCTGCGACTTTTAATACAACCATAGCTCAAATGACCAAGCCTGTCATGCCACAGTTTCATTTCTGTTTCAGATGAAGAAGCTGACAAAGCTTTTTGTTGCAAAAAATTTAATATATATAACTGAGAATTGTTTCTTTTTGCAACCGCAACAGTTTGATTATCTTTCTTAATCAAGCCACATGAATTTTGAAAGATAACACAAAAACCATTCATTTCCAATTTTCTTACTGAAAGTAAATTGTAACTAATTCCAGGTACAGATAAAACATCTTTGATTGTTATTTTAATTTCCTTCCCTTCAACAACACTAGTGACATACAATTCCCCTTTACATTTTGCTTCAAGATAAGTTCCAGACTTGGCTACTTTGATTTTAATAGGCTGTTCTAATTTCTTAAAGTTAGAGAGACATACCTCATTACTGTTAACCAGATGTTCTGTTGCTCCAGAGTCTAATATCCAATTTATGGTATCTGCTGAACAGTCTTCACTTGATGCTCCAAAACAAAATGCGGCATCTTCCTGTTTGGTGTCGACCACGTTCGCAGAATTATTTTTCTTTGATGGGTTCTGTGGTAATTTGACTCTGCAGTTAGCTCGTTTGTGTCCAAGCTTTCCGCATCTGTGACAAGTGAAATTGAACGAGTTGCCAGAAGTTCCTTGATTTCCTGGAAAATTTTTCTTTTTCCCTGGTTGAGACTGGAAGGCAGTAGGAGGTGATGTACAATCAAATTCAATTTTTCCAACGCCCCTCCTCTTTGTCTCCTCTTCCAGCAGTCTGACCTTCACAAAGCTTAGAGATAAGTCCTTCATTGAAAGAGTCTCTATGGCCGTGACAACGACGTCATATTCTTTGGGCATGGTCAGTAGTAGATGACAAACAATGTCAGATTCCTCGACAGTTGCTCCTGTAGAACGTAACTCTCTTATGACTTTGTCAAATTTCAGAAAGTGACGATTTAAAACGTCATTCTTCGCATCAAACTTCATTGTTAGTAACTGCTTCCTTAGTAGAAGTTGGCTAGCTATTCCTTTCCTTTCAAATGTGTTGCAGAGAGATTGCCATAGTTCAAAAGCAGTTGCCTTGTCTTTTGCATATTCCAAATGGCTGTCGGCAATACGCTGTATAATCTGCGACTTGCACTTTCGATCTTGTTTCGCTAATTCCAACAACCTTGCTTCCTTCCTCTCTCGTTGTTCATCTGTGTCTTTATCCAGAAATTCAACTTTGGTAACATAAGATTCCTTTACAAAAGATAATAATTCTAATTCCTCCAGCAGAGTTTCAATTCTAAATTTCCAATTGCTGAAATTGGTTCCATCCAACAATGGTATTCGATACTTTTCATGTTCAGTTGCCATATTAATTCAATTTCATTAGCCAGGTAAAAAAATATTAACAAATTCCGTATTTAAACAGCCCTGGGCCCATAACCTGTAAATATGTGGTTTCCCTGGACACTAAATTAAAATACCTAGCTCAATAAAATAAAAGGGCAAACTGAATTATTAAACTCAACACTTTTAATTGAACCAACTAAAGAAGACATAGATTAAAACTATTGTTGTTTTTAACAACACATTTAACAATTTAACCATCTGGTATTCATCATTGAAGTATAACATTAAAAACAGACATGTGGCAAATATTAAATTGCACTCAACAATAATGATATCACTTCACATTTGGGAGGTCTGGATATTCTGTTGTACGGTTTCTTTCCTCACTAGGGTGAATGCTGGAATGGTTACCTCAAGGGCCATACCCTACTACTACTATGGAATAGGGGGAGAAAGTATAAATAATCATACTAATTGTTGTAAAGACAGAATAACTTGTTTCACATAAAAGTGTGTACTTTGTAGTGTTGCAAATGAGCAAAACCTTTCAAGATATATTAACCACTGTTGTAATGACCTTTAAGTGAGTGTTTGGAGTTTTAAGAGGTTGAGTTTGATTTTTGACTATTGAGATTCATTGTAAACCATGTAAAGAATTCTCGCTAAGTTATATGGAATCTTTCAAAGATATCACTCACTGATTGCTACTAATGTAAAACGATGAACAGCTGAATTAACTGATGGAGTTATTTTGCCACCAGGCCATCTACTTGTGCTCCAAGATGACCATAGAGTCGATGAGACCTCACTGGCCCCAGATGTCACTGGATGGGACATGTAACCTGTGGATAGTCAAGCCAGGAGCCAAGTCTCGAGGTAGAGGCATCCAAGTATTCCGCAAACTAGAAGACATCGTGGCTCGGGTGGGAACCCTCCATTCGAAAGATCCCAGATATGTCATCCAGAAGTATATAGGTATGAGGAGGGTGATGAGGATAACTACTATACACTCAAATTAGCAATCTCAGAATCAGTCCTATATTCTACCTCTGAGCAACCAGATTCATAATATTGTTGTGCGCCAGGATGGCTGGGCAATAAAAACAATTAATAAATCGTAATACTTTTTTTTATTAAGCTCAATGACTATAGTCGGGACCACGAATGTTTGCAGTTGGCCACAGCCAATCACAAGACAAGGCTAGTGCGACGTTGCCATATCGCCCGTTGACGACACTAATTAAAATACTGAACAATATTTTCAAATCAGCTGGTATTATTAGATTTGGCAACACCAAACTGTCCTCATTGGCGCCTTCGAAGTCACGTGGTAAATAGACTCCTCCCTCAACTGCAAACTTTTGTGGTCCCGACTTTAATTTCACTAGGCAATGTTATACTCAAATAATGATTAATAGTTTTACAGTTTGTTTTAGGACTCACTTAGGACTAATATTTCCAATCATTCCAAATATCAGAGAGCTCATCCAGCCATGATGCTGTTAGATCATTTTTAGAATACATAAATTGTAAAATTCTTACCCATTATTCAAGTATGACTTTGCCTTGTGGAGTTAACGCTTATCGAGTTATTGTGCTTAAAAAGTCTAGTATTGCGATTTAACTATTGTTTTCCATTGCCCAGCCATCCCGGCGCACAAGGCCTTGCTATGAAGGCTTTGAAAATAGCTACATCCCAAAGGATATTTACTAATCCATTTACTCACAAAATAACAAAGTTTACGTTGCTGATAGATTTTCAAGCTGGTCTTTTCTGTGTAAAACATGAAGCACCAATGAAAATACACATATATATTTGGGATGAAAATAGTATTTAAAATTAAAACTATACAAATTACCAAAATATAATGCAGTTTTAACAATCCTTGTGTTACAGAGAAGCCTTTACTGATTCACAACACCAAGTTCGATATCCGTCAGTGGTTCTTGGTGACCAGCGCCTACCCTCTGACAATATGGATGTACAAGTAAGATAAAGTGGATTTACATGTGCACAATATGGTTTGGTGATATAGTTCCAGTAGACTTTGCCTATTCTGATACATTCAGTGTGGACATCCACTTGCATAAGACTCACACGACTTTGTGCAAAGCCCCATAACCAAGTCACAAATTCATGGTCTTTGGGCGATTAACATGTCAAATTCGACACAAATTTGATTTTGTAAAAATAGACAATAGAAAATTAATCTTTATTTACACATTCATTAAGAATAGTAGTAGTGTCAATTTACAATTTTTTCTAAATATGTGGTGAGGTGTTGTTTAGTCAAAGATCTGTTGGTAGTATTCTTTCAAAGAGTAAAAAGGTCAATTAATGAGCCATAGGCCATACTGAGTGACACATAGGATTTTACTTCTAGATTTTCAGCTAGTGGTTCATTAAACACTAAGGTTGTGTCATCAGCGTACATAAGAGTAAGGCAGTCGTCTCCTATTTGTTGCGGCAAATCGTTGGTAAAAAGAATAAATAGTACCGGACCCATAACAGACCCTTGGGGAACTCCTCGATTTATTGGTTGAAAACTTGATCTTGCTTTTCTTATTTTCTTAAAAAGGTTGATAAAGGTTCCTAATTGTGTTAGTTGAGACAAGGGTCCAGTCCTGTGGTGTCAAACCAGAGTATAGTGGGAAAGGGGATGGGATTGTACTTATTTACTGAAGTATCTTAAAGCTTTACTTGAAATACTTTTAATTGAAATGGCGACCATACAAAGGTATATATTTTAAGCCAAGTATGAATGGAGATGATGTGTGTTATTTTACAACACTAACACGAATGGTACCACCAGTACCTCCAGTTCCTCACCTGGTACTAAGAGCTGTCCCACGAACGTGACCAAAAACGATCATTTCGGTAGTGGCGCGATCTTGTAGTCTTGTTACTGACTAAAGGCCAACATGTTATCAATGATTGGTTTTGTTAACACACAAATCCATTAAGTCTGAGGACACCATTGAAGGAAAGTCTGTGACAATTTAACAAGTCCATTACTAATGACAATAGGGGAAATTGAATTTTGGTGTGATCTTCACTAATATACCAAAATGTTGAAACCAGGCCCAGGTCTCTCAGTTTATGATTTTCCTTAACCATAAGTTAATTGATCTATTTTGCTGCTGTAAGACAATGTATTTTTCTGAACCTTCACTAAAGTTGTTCTCTAGGGAGAGCTATCTGAGGTTCTGCTCTCAGCTGTTCTCCTTAAGTAACATGCACGAGTCAGTCCACCTCAGCAACAACGCTGTCCAGTGCAAGTACAAGAACGCCAAGAGAGACCAAGCATTGCCTGATGAAAACATGTGGGACTGCTACACCTTTCAGACATACCTCAGGTAACAATGGAATCGCAAGCTTGTGTACAATCCTAGAAATTTAATTAGTGGTGGGTTTAGGGCAAATAGCACCCTGCACTGCAAATCCCTTTAAACTAAACCTAGTTTTAACGCTGTTTTGATATTAAAATACTGAGTGGCGTCGTCCTGTAATCCAGCTACTAGGAGGTCACGATTTGTGGATATTTAAGCATGCACTGTGGATGTGATACTCCCTGGTGTGGATTAATGTCCGCACTAGTGATTAGTACGACTATACGCAGTACTAACCTGATAATTTGACCAGTTTGTTAGTACCAAGGCAAAAATGTGGTTCGGATTCCACTATAAACTGTATGTCCCTTAGTTGCCATTGGCTGTTTGGGCTATTAATTAACAGCCGCTGTGTCTAAGGAATATGTCGGCCTTAGTCACTAACAAGACTACAAGATCCTCGCCACTCATCCCCATTCATACTTGGCTTAAAATACCTACTTTGTATGGTCACCATTTCAATGAAAAGTATTTTAGTATTAAGTATTGGAGTTTGTGTACTTTAATATTTTGTTTTTAAATGATTCAAATTTTTTTGTAAAAAGATTTGAGATTCGGCGCTCTTATAAATGTGACACGTTAGGCCCAGTCAGCCTATATTCAAAGTGGAGCCAGTTGGGTGTAAGAAGTGGCTAAGGGTAACTCCAACAATGACCCAACCCAGTAGTGTGTAGGGATAGGGCTCTATAGGAGATTGAGTGATGAAAGTAGAATGAATTATGGTAAAACTTTGTTTCTAAGACCAGCTGTGATTTTAGCCAAAACAGCCATTGGAAGTCCAATGAAAATGTCAGCTTTTATGTAGAACCTTAAAAAGTGGCCGCAACTCATTTAGGGATTACAGTACCTGTAAGGGGCAATCTTAAGACAACAATACCTATACCTGCCCCACTCAATCGTAACATTGCATAATATAGTGTTATTTACAATGATCACAACAATTTGATGTCCCCAGGACTATAGGTCAGGCAGATATGTGGGATTCAGTAATCTATCCTGGGATGAAGGAGTCCATAACCGGAACCCTACTGGCAGCACAGGAGCACATGGAGCATCGCAAGAACTGTTTTGAGCTTTACGGAGCCGACTTCATGCTCACTGATGACATGGTGCCTTGGCTCATTGAGATCAACTCGTCACCCTGTATGTCTCCCACCACCAGCGTAACGGCACGCATGTGCTCTCAATGCCTTGAGGACGTCATTAAAGGTTTGTAAGATATTTGGCTTCGTTGAAAAGTTGCATATTTGGTAGGGTAAAAGTGCATGTTTGACACATCTGATGAATAAATTAATGTTTTTGTTATATATTATTATAGTGATAAACTATTTCATTCCCAACAGGTTGAAAATGTTTGACTAATTTAAAGCAGAATTAGAATTTAGGCGCATTTTTACCTAGTAGAATTTAATAAAAGGTACACATGTTATATACACAAGTCCTGTAAACAATTTAACTTAATTTTTTTATAAATTTATTTCTAAACCACCTAATCTGGTCATTGTTGTTCAAATAAGCAGTGGTGTACATGTAGTTTTATGTTTGTTCAGTGGTGATCGACAGGAGGCACAACAAGCACGCTGACACTGGGATGTTCGAGATGGTGTACAAACAGCACATTTCACCACCCCAGCCTTACATGGGGATGAATCTGACAGTGCGGGGTACTAAGATACAACGCAGTCCAAAAACCAAGCGCAAGAGAAAACCTTCCTTGGAAACAGACTTACAGTTGAGTATCTCGTGTACCAACACTGTCAAGAGCTTCATCCAAGATCTATCGACAAAACTGACTGAGCCATCGACAGAGCAGACCAAACAAGACACGACGCGAGGAGAGATGTCTACAACCACTGCCGTTCCATCCACACCTTCCAGCACCAACTCTACCTCTGACGAAGAGTCAACAGATTCTGATGAAAGTTTCGAAGTAAGAGTGAGTGACAAAGCGGTGAGTGTTCAAGAGATGGGAACGCAAACAGGTGACATAATTCAAAACATTCAAGGAGAGAAGCAATCCCAGATAAGCTCGATGTCTTCTAAACCACCATCGAGGGACAATCAAGACAGCAAATCCTCAGAAAACAAAGAACCCAAGAAGAAATCCCATCATGCCATGTGTTGCAAGCCTACAGAGAGTCTGGTACCGAGATTCTTCAAGGCGGGAACAAGGTATAACAAAACAAATCACCTTCGATTGTGGAAACGCAGTACAGAAGCTGCCCAAACCAACGTCCTTCTGAATGATTGGAAAGAAAGGATCGACAAGACAAGAGCAAATTGTGAGGAAATGTTGACCAAATTGAAAGTTTTAAGGGATAAAGATTACAACATTCCGGTTAAGAAAGGGATCAATTGGAAAGCGGAGAATGGCACAGTGGAGGAAATTGTTAAAAAGTTGGCTCAACCACAGAAGAAAGAGTTTCTTGAGCGGCTGCCTATAGTGAGGGAGAGCGTGCAGAGGAAATCACTTTGTGACAGAGATACCCAGGGAGGTCCCAAATCCAGGTCGTCTTCCACGTCACCCTTCGCCTCGCGCCACGTACTGCCTCAGATCAAGGACAGGACACACTCGTACTCCACTGTTGAGAACAACAACTTGTTTGCCGTCGGACTCAGCTTGCAGTGTCAGAAGTCAAGCTACTCCCCTCGTGAGAAGCTATTGATGCCCATGGGATCAGATCACTACCTCGGACTGTCTCTGGGTTCTCTTTCCAATGCCCTTGCATCGTCTTAGCTGTTCTAAATGTAGCTTTAACGTTACTGTGTTCATTATTGTAAGTCTGAACCATATATTGTTCTGTTTATACAGGGTGGAAAAAAGTCCCGGTACAGTTAAATATTTACAAAAGTAATAAAGACATAGCTTTAAAACTTGGTACACAGTTACTGGGCATTATGATCATTCTAACACATTATTCAAAGATGTGCTACCTCAGGAGGGACGTACTAGGAGTCAGAAGAAAATTTTAAATGTAAGCATAAGTTGATATGCACATAAAATTTAAGGTCTTTGTTAGTAAAATACAATGGCGCAAACCCAAACTCAAACGGACAACCGTATAAAAAGTTACAGCTTTTTAAAGATACATAGAATTTGCATAACGATTATACGGCTTCCACGCCTACAAGCTGGCGCTTGCTAGAAGTTTGAAGAAAATCATAAACGTATGAATAGGTCGATATGCACATGAAATTAAAGGTCTTCACTAGTAGAATATAATGCCGCAAATCTGAACTCAAACAAACGAGTAAAAAATGGCAGCCGTTCAAAGATTCAAAATGGCAGATTCAAGGAATCTTTGAAATGCTGCAATTTTTGACTCGATTGTCCGTTTGAGTTCAGATTTGCAGCATTATATTTTACTAATAAAGAACTTTAATTTGATGTGCATATCAACCTATGCTTACGTTTAAAATTTTCTTCTGACTCCTAGCGGGCTGTCAATGATTTTAATGCCCAGTAATTGTGTACCAAATTTTGAAGCTCTATCTTAATTAATTTTTGCAATATTTAATCGTTCCAGGACTTTTTTCCACCCTGTATAATTTTAGTTTAGTATGAATTTATCTTTGGTCTTGACAACTAAATTAGAATTTAATTTAAATCTACTTGACAATTAATCAATGATCTTACTTACTATCCATTGAAATCAATGTTAAACTTCAAATTCACTTTGACAAACTCAAGCAAATTTTTTTACTATCAGAAGCTTACAAATTTTAGATTAAGAGAAATCTGATACACTTTCTTCGGTAATATTAAGTAACTGATTATCTTAATATTTTTCTTCATTTTGAACATTCTAAAAAAAAAGACCGACAAAGTATTAAGTTGTATTTTTGTAAATAAGTAGTTTGGAGATTAAAAGTAATTTATATAGTAGATATATTCATGCAGTTGGTAATATGTCTTTTACTGGGTGGACACTATCTACTTGAACTAATTTATACAATCAATAGTTTGCCACATGTTGGAATTAAATGCATATTAAAAAGTTCATATTTTGAATTTACTTATTAACTAACTTTCATACATGTTTAACTGATAAAATATTTGTTTGGAAATTGTGATATGAGATGTATAAATTGTTATATTTTTGAATTAGATATGGAAGCGTTAATAATTTAGTAACACAAAGTATTATTTTATCTAGTGAGTAGAAATGATCAATTCCTGTTTGTAAATTTTTTAGAGTTAGAGTTAATTTATGTTTAACGTAAAAATAAATAAATATATTGCTTATATAGCTGGACTATTTTGTGTAGTTCCTGAGAATTATTTTTACTTATCAAACAATAAAAACCTATTGAATATGCTGATAGAATTCTGTATTTTTATGACCAAAGATGAAGATTACTTATAAATCCGGATACAATCTGAATGATTTTCCTAAAGCAGATGGAATTAGTGGTTAGTAATAAAAATATTGACTCTTTCCGTAACATGATAGACTAATTATATGAACTCATTCTCCCATATAGTGAAAGTGGCTTTGGTATGAAACAAACTCATGAACAAACAATTATAAGGCTCCTAAAAAACCTTTTAGGCAACCTAAAGCCGATAAAAAGGTAGGAAATATTGTGTTAAACGAATTCATCAATCACGTTTTTAGGGAACACAATCGTCATACTTATTATTGCTTATCCTCCCTTCATTTAACTAAGATTTTAATGACTTCACTCTATCCATCGCAGTTAGCTTAATTTACATAAAACCTCAAGATTAACAGTCGATTTCGACGGGGTTCCACTAGTGTTCAATTAATCGTAAAACAGAACTGGGCTCTTCTAGATTAGAGGAAACATGAGCTCTAAATCACTTGGTCAGGCATTATCACATTTTGGTGAGATTTAAACTGCATCTTCGGAACAGAAGAGTGAAAGGTCTAAGTAAATTAGTAACTTGAAACTGAAATCATAAGAGTTGGAATTTTTTTAAAGGGTTTTGAAGGTAACTAAAACCATGGACAAAAAGAATTAAATATAGACTGTCAGCCATGCTGCGGTGGTGGTGCGCCCAGTGGTCTGCGCCAGAATCTATGGTATCCGCAGCACGGCTGACAGTCAATATTTAATTATTTTTGTTTATTGTTGGTTAAAACCAATTCTACAAAAAATATTTATAATCCAGTAAATTTGTATTTAAATTTACTCATAGCAAGAAAGTTTTGGGGTAGTTTCGATTTTTTCCATTTCTTATGTATTTTGGGGTGCTGAATCCAAATCTGAGCTTTGCCAACAAAAATTCTTGACGCAACATTGACAAAAATTAGAAAAATATGGAAAAAATGATCTATTTTGTAATATTTGGCTTATAACTCAGAAACTATCAACTTTTCGTAAATAGTCTACATTATAAAAATTAAAGTACACGAAATTTGCTACAAAATGTACCCCTAATGTGGTAATCTCCGATGAACCGTTTAGGCTCCAGAGCTATTTGAAAATTGGAACATTTTGTGTTAGTTTTTAAATTTCTCAAATTATTCTGTCAATGACATATATTCATTGTATATGCCCAGGCAAAGGTCTTATATAAATCCAAAGTGTTAAAATTGATTAATTTTGTGTTACTGAACCATTGATCTTTTATTTAGTGTACAGAAAAGTTACATGAACTGTTGCCGTTTAAATTATCCTCGCTCAGAGGGTTGTAATGAGGCATGTTCTGGCAAACGTTTCGATGCATCATTTGTGAGCGTTCTAGCAATTGTTCATCTGGACAAAAAAGGTTAAAAGTAAAAAAAAAAATTTCTACACATAAGTAATATCAAAATTAAAATAACAGCAATCTGTTAATCATGTAATATACGTATGCACCTGATGACGTGATAATAAAATATACGGAAATAATAAAATGCTATGTAGGCATATACTGTTGCTAAGCATTTACATTGTGTGTAGATTTCATAGATTGTAGGATTGATACTATATTGTTACTTTCTGTACAGTGTAAATATACATCTAGTATGTTTTACGACTCCTTCTTTAGATCCACATTCATCAATGCTCATACGACACTGATCCTATTTTTTCCCACCCCCCCATTCCTTTGGGTGCCTTTGTTGCTGGTTGTTTGTGATTTGACTTGACAAGCAATACTGCAGCTGCACGTAACATCACTTGAGGGAACATCACCTCTACTCTTTTTTTGTTTGGGGGAACCAACAATTCTATAATAGTCTAAAAGAAAAACTATGACTAATAGACAATTTTTAGTGATTTCAAAAACCCTCATACACACCAGGATGAGATTGCTCGGGTACGAAATAAGTTTCTAATGACTCTATACACAGAACGAAAACATGATACTAATTTAAACCTTATGACTCTCGTGTTGGCCGTTTGGCAATCATGTGGGCTTAAAAAAACCTTTTTTGATCATTTTATTCCCATTTACATTTTTATTTCAATTTTATTTTGTTGTATTATTATTGTATTTGGAAGTTAAAACACTGGTAGGCTCAATGGTCTGCATAGTAAATTAATCCTAGGGCGTAAGGCATAGGCCCTTAACATGAAAGTGGTAAGGTATAATTGACTTAAGATAGTCAATACGAATTGTGGCTTAAAAACTAAATCCAACATTGCCTCACTGCCCCCAACTCAAGCAGCTGCGTAGACATAACTCGGTTAGAGTTTAAATTTACATTCGGGTGAATGAATGGGGGTGAAAAAAAATTGTATCGGCCAATCACTCTAAGCCATGCATTGGTCTTGAAATTTTACACAGAAAATTGTATAATGGGTGCCAATACGATTGAGGATGCACAATGGGCTGTGATGCTAGAGTCTAAGTAAGTAAGAAAGTACGTATAGTACCAAACGCACATTTTTTTATTTATTAACTTGTTAAATCTACACACAATGATTAGCAACAATATATGCCTCTATAACATTTTATTATTGACGTATATCTTAATATCACGTCATCAGGTGCATTACATGATTAACAGATTGCTGTTATTTTAATTTTGATATTACTTATTATGTGTAGAACATTTTATTTTACTTTTAACCTTTTTTTGTTATTGTCCAGATGAACAATTGCTAGAACGCTCACAAATGATGCATCGAAACGTTTGCCAGAACATGCATCATTACAACCCTCTGAGCGAGGATAATTTAAACGGCAACAGTTCGTGTAACTTTTCTGTACACTAAATAAAAGATCAATGGTTCAGTAACACAAAATTAACCAATCTTAACACTTTGGATTTATATAAGACCTTTGCCTGGGCATATACAATGAATATATGTCATTGACAGAATAATTGGAGAAATTTAAAAACTAACACAAAATGTTCCAATTTTCAAATAGCTCTGGAGCCTAAACGGTTCATCGGAGATTACCACATTAGGGGTACATTTTGTAGCAAATTTTGTGTACTTTAATTTTTATAATATAGACTATTTACGAAAAGTTGATAGTTTCTGAGTTATAAGCCAAATATTACAAAATAGATCATTTTTTCCATATTTTTCTAATTTTTGTCAATGTTGCGTCAAGAGTTGTTGTTGGCAAACCTCAGATTTGGATTCAGCACCCCAAAATACATAAGAAATGAAAAAAATCAAAACTACTCCAAAACTTTCCTGGTAAAAACACTAATTAACTGAATTATTACAATCCAAAAGAGTCTTAAACTGACTAAACATATTTATCCATGTAAGCTCAGGGAAGTGAAATTGGCCTAGGTTTAAGTAAATAGTACAACAAAATTTAGGATATTATCAATACGAAATTTTATTTTTGAAAATTAATTTTAGTTTAAGAACAAAACTTTCTTATACTGTAGTAGCCAACAGTAATTATGATTCCAAACCAACTGATTTAAAATGAAAATAAACACTAGAACTTATAAACCAACTTCTAGTTGCTCAAAAATACTTTTAAAGTTGCTAACAATTAAGATGCTCTAATCGAGATCTATAAATCAACCCAAAGTACTTAACAACTTCAATAAATAACATAAAAACGATTTGTTTAAAACAACAAAACATTGAAAGAGAATTTAATAACTCTTTTGTTATTAACAGGTCATTAACTGGATGGTCACCAAGAAAGAGACTGAGATTGTTTACCAAACATTTTAGAAACTATATCAAAGTTTTTGTGGGGTTTTATCAATAAACTATATATTCTTATGAAAAGAGGAAACAATTCTTTTAAATAGTTTATATCCACAGTTAAAGCATTATGATTATGAACATCTAATCATAATGCTTAAACAAAGCTTTATATATAGTATTGTATAAAGCCTTAAACAAAGCACCGGTAGTTCTCATACACTCCTTAATTTAATCACAAAATTGAATAGCCTATAATACTTTACTTTTATATTAAGTTACACTTTAATTTTCCTAGGCCATTCAATATAATTAGTTTTTGGTCAACAAAGTGCTTTATCAAAAACTAAATAAATAAATAAAAATGCGGAGTATTTTTGAGCGTCTTTATTGAGACAGAACTAGCGCTACGTTGTTAGAGGGCCAGTCTTTCCGTCTTCCTCTTTGGTTCTGTTGTCATCAGGCTTCATGGCCGGGAAGAACAAAACCTCCTGAGAAACAAGGAAAGATTAAAATCACAGCTTAGAATGAGCTCAGTGAGTAGTTTAATTTATTTTTGGGAACTACATGTCTGCCATAAAAAGTAATAAAAATGTGTATAGTGAATTATTGGTTTTGAAATTGTTTAAATTATCGAATATATTTTGGATAATCACCAGAGTAGCCAACTGGTTAAAGTGGATTTTCTCATTATTGCTGATTGTATCCTGAGGATGAAGGATTCTGGACCAAATTCCCATATCATTTGTTACAAAGGGCAATTTCCCATTACTCCCATTACAAGCAGGTGAGAACCAAATTAAAGAAAAGTTTGTAAGTACTCGTTAAAATAATTTTATTTAAATAGGGAATAAATGTGATATTTTTAAGGAGGCATATTAGTGTAAATCCAATCAGGCAAATTGAAATTCGCTTAGTCTGCAGGTTTGCTGCGGCGGGGATATTTTTCTTGTTTGATTTCAGGCAAATGCTCAGTTTTCCTTTAAGGGTCGTTTCCCGCTACACAGAATTAAGGGTTGTATTAATAGTCAAAGATATAACCAAGTTATAAATTATGTTTGGCTGGAAAATGCCCAAGCAGGTACTGTAGGCCTAATATAAATAATAATTAAAAATGCTTGAAAACCCTGCTTCTTAAATTATAATTTTATTTTAACCATTTGTATACCAAGGAAAAATTGTGAACTTAAGTTTACATGTTGGGAAATTCAATCCATTATAGTATAGAATGTCGAAGACATTTATAAAATACACAAGAATGAAATACGCTTATTTGTGCATTATTTAAGTGGATATTTTTTAGTGCCCGCTCAACTTTACCAATGATTAATGTTTCATTGTACTTGCAATATTTATATTAGTTATAAGAAACTTGTCCTACACTCTAGTAATGTGTGTACCTTGATGTTGTTGGAGTCAGTAAGGAACATGGTGAGTCTGTCCACACCCAGACCCCATCCTCCTGTAGGGGGAAGTCCGTACTCCAGAGCTGTACAGAAGTTCTCATCTACCAGCTGAGCCTCATCATCGCCAGCTGCCTTGTCCTACAATGAAGTGTTAGTATAAGGAACATGAACCAAAATGTATCAATGACCATAATGTGAATGCAGTTTCAAATCCTGAGACACCAGGCATTATCTATCAGCTGTAAGCCATTTGTGATAGGTGGGGAACAAGCTGGTAATACAACGAGAGACTTTGGTCCCTGAGGTGCTGGGTCCGAATCCCTGTCAAATCACCAATGTATTTTATCATTTTATCTAAGTGACGAAACCTCAACTCCAAGGTTTAGCCTGAGGTAATTTCAAAAATGATCCCCTGCTAAATTGAAATGTCCTAGAACAAAAAAATTATTGGTGATAAGCAGGATTTCAACGCAGGACCTCAGGGATCAAAGCCCTACGCTTTAACACTAGACCAGCTCGCTCTCGACGTGCAAACAGTATATTTCATTGCCTGTCATCATGAGTAGAGTTAGAATGTGGTGATTGAAACCTTTTTATTTTTGAAATATAATAAATATTCCTGTCTTGCATTTTAGCTAAATAACAGCTGGGTGGTTTATTGTTCGCCTGACAATCAAAAGGTCGCTGGTTTGATGCTTAAAGTCAGTAGTTTTTGAATGTTTGAAACCCGATAGATGCCTTTGATGATATCTATCTTTAGTGAGTCGGTGGCTCAGTCGGTAGCGTCGCGGACTTCGGGCCCATGGCAGCGATGTCGTGGGTTCGGATCCTGGTCACTACCAAAAACATTTTATCAGTACAGTTCACCTTTGTACTGTACCGGCTCATTCCTTGCTTTGCTGTATACGATCCATGCACGGGCGGTTAGTCTATGTGGACGGGCAAATGCAAAAGAGGCCGCCAACCTTTTAAAAAAAAAGAAAAATCTAGAAGAAACAGCCGATTTTAAAGTTACATAGATCATCTTGCTCCATTCTACACATTCTCAATTAATATTCTGGTTAAAATATATAGCTCATAGATGTGTTTAGATGTCTCACAAAAGTAACGAGGAAAAATAAATATTCTTATTAAGAGAAAGATTGGTATTTTAGGGGTCATATTCAGAAAATTACAAGCATACAAAATATAACTGACTTAAGCCACAACAAATTATGTTCTTTAAATTGGTGTAAAAATAAATTGGAAAATGGATAATCATAATATAAATTTGAACAACATTTTGAAGGTTTCTTTTCCAAGGGACAGATGGTAGATGAACATTGATTGTTGTTTACATAGCACCTGGATAAACAAGCCTACAAGTGCAACATAATGTCACACAGACAAGTACCGTATGTGCTTCTCGTTATACCAAACTGATAAGTCAAAAGTCAAGCTACTAAGTATGTAATTTGGACAAACTTGATGATTTCTTTGCCAAAACAATTATTAAATAACTTCTTGATCAGCATTGTACGTGTTATTAAATTTACGGAAAGAAAATAAAGATACGTCTTATAACACTTAAAACATATATTTACGCTTATACTGTTACTCACAAGATGGTAAATATACAAAAGATGGTAAGTGGTGATCGATTTCGATTGGACACTCCAATCATCATCAGACCCAATAGGCGAAATATTTTACAATGTTACAATTGATAACGTAGAGTAAGCTAATGTTGACTCGACATATGTATTTGTCTTTTACATTTTGTTTGGGTTTGGGAAAACATGAATAGTGTACGACCATTTGTTCACGTGTCCAGTGTGTCAAACCGGCTACATTCTAATATGCAAGAACTAACATTATTCAGTTACCCAGCTACAATAATCTATATTTATAGTTCTAATAACCTTGGCCTGTTCCTCGAAGCGTTCACGTTGCACGGCAGGGTCGTTGAGCTCTGTGTACGCGTTGCAAATCTCTTTCTTCATGACAAACAGTTCGAACCTCTCTGTGAGTCCCGGAACACTCCGGTGGTACTTGGCTAGAGGGGACATCACCTGAGGGTGTTCCAGGATGAACGTCGGGTTGATGCACTGCTCCTCCAGGAACTCTCCGGTCAGCTGCAATATTACACATTATGTTAATGGAATATTTAAAATTTCACCTTGCCACTGTAATAGGTTTAGGATACTTGAAAATTTGACATCTCATACATTTGCATATTTGTGACTTAGAGCTCTTAGTTATCAATTATGGTTGAGGCCGTCGAGAGGAATACTGAATTTTAGTAAGAGAAAATTGTACCAAAGGGGTCAAAGTTACAACAGTTTTAGGTTTTAAAGTTTTTTTATCATATTATAAGTAAAGCAATACAATTGACATGTAGAGCAAAACAAAACATTTTTAAGCATTGGTTACCAGTAATATTTATGAAAAATTACAGGCCTATTACAATTAAGAAATATCCTTGATTTAACAGCCATTTTATCATTGAAAACAATCATCAAAAAAACTTTTAAACATTTTTAACGGCTATCTGCCTCCTACGATATCACAAAACATTTTATAAGCTTAATCTCATTGACTGCAGACTAGATACCTAATATAAATACGACCTGACTAGTGATATTAAGAGTTGACCATATAGGGAAAATTCTTGAATTTCAAATCTTAAATCTAAATCGTACAATAGTTGATTCTTAAATATAGAATTCAAGTAATATTTTTATTTAACATATTGAATTTCATAATACATTGAGTCACTTATAACTTTCTAAGGTATAAAAATAACAATCAAAATTGTTTACACTAAAGCTGCAGCAAAATTGCTAATACCAAATAAATTTATTTCAGAAATATAAATATTTCATTAATACTACAAAATACTCTGAAATTAAGTCCCTGCAAAGCAAAGCTAGACTACTTTGTAGTGTAATATCTACCAAAAACACTAGATGCCAATTATAAAAATCCTTAAACCTTGCCCAAAAAAGTAAAATACCAATTTCATGGTGAAGTCAAAAACAGTTTACAGCCATAATAGTACAGGTTTGTACGGGGTTGCACAGGCAAACAGTGGGTGTAGATAGCACATGCAAACAGCGGTTAAACTAAATAAGTGTTCAATTCTTAAACTTTTCAAATCCTTAATGAGATTGAGCAATTTTGAGAGTTGCACGAACCTTGTCCAGCAGTCTGGCCACGGTGCGAGGTGGTGGACACTCTACCTCATGTTTCTCACACAGATCAGACAGAGCCTTCTGAGCCTCCGGGGTGTGCAGCTGGTCTGGGGAGGGCAGCTTCACCTGAGCAACACCAGGGGTTACTTGGAAACAAATCTATTTTGATATCAGTAGAGTTGTACAATTAAACTGCTACTTTATTGACGTGAACAAGAATTGGTACTTTTTGGTGTATTCACCACTACTAATGTTATAGTTTAATTTCATTAACTCTCCACCAGCTAGGTTTGTAGTCAAGACAAGATCCTACTAAAGAAAGTCAACTCATACAGGTGTGTATTGCACTCCGGTGTTCCTAAATTGCAATTCTGTACCAATTCAGGTTGTTATTTGGCTAATATATAGAAATAAGTTCTGCAACACCTGGGGACTGTCCCGCACAAATATATAGGCTTTAGTTAATGGCATTGCCGTGGAAGATAATTTTTTTTAAATAGGCATACACTTGAATAAGCAGAAAAGCTACGTAATTGTGTTACTTTAGAATCAGAATTAGAATCTGTATTGCCAAGAATACAGACAAGTAGGCCTACAGGGTGAGAGTCACTAATACTATCATGTGATAATAAATAAGATACAGACCCGATAAAATAAAGACACAAACGTCTAGAGGTACAGATTATTATTTTTTTTTATTTAGAAATACTATATAATTCCCTATAAACTAAATATTCCCTCAACAGATGCTTACATTTGTAAAACTTGTTTTTACCTATTGTGGAATGAAGAAGTGAATTAATAGACGGAGGTGTGTCAAATTTCCTCCTAAGATGTACATTGACTTATACATTTGAAACATTTTAATATAGATGGGGAGAGTACTAAAGTAACTTTACTCCGATGTAAGGGTTGATTTTTTACACCTCACTTTTTTTTTTTAAGAATATCACGATGGAAGTCGGAAGAAAATGTTTTTAGTTGAGGGTCATCAAAAGTAGTACGAAAGACCAAAGGTTTTGAGGTTAAACACGGTGAGGTAAGGCTCAAGCAGTTAGCGCGAGCGCCGATGGAGCCGCCGCCGAGGCCGAGTCAGACTGCCAAAACTGGTTTCTGCGCATGACCGGCCCAGACGTGCAACAAAACCACTGGGACCGGGCGCCGCCGGACAGTCTGTGCCATTTTGTGACCCAATCAACACATCTCTCTCTAAGGTATAGTGCCCACTTGATATCATTTTATGATTCAGGGAAATTAGATCATTTTACGTTTGGATATTTACGATCGATGTTGGATAGTTGATTTACGATAATTTGTTCCCGATAAACGAAGTTTTCGATTTTGATCAGTGATCAATTGGTATATTTTTTGCAATTTAATTTAGATTTTAAATTGTGAAATAATTAGTTTGAAGTCAAAGAAATTTTGCCGACTAGCAATATAAAATCCAAACGAGTTAGCATACACTAGGCTATTGAGGAAAGCAAAGGCTTAGTAAGGCCAATTGAGTATTTTAAAGGATTTTTACCTACACATCTTATATTACATAACCTCTGTGTCACCTTCCAATATCCCTCCTTTTGCTGAAGTGCAAGCAGCATCCTTTGGGCGGAATACGCTACTCAATTACCTAACCCTCTTGTATCGCAGTTAAGGAGTGATTTAATAGGTTAAGCCTTAGCCTAGTTGTTATTGAAGAACTATATAATTTGAGGGTGACAATAGCCTAAGCTTGTGTAATATAACGTCATATAAACTCAATGTTGCCTTCCAAACATCCCTCCTTTTGCTGAAGTACAAGCAGCATCCTTTGTGCAGTGTACGCCATTCTATAGCCTATTACCCTAAATTGTATGCTTAACGAATTTCTGGTATTTAATTAAAACATAGAGAGAGTTACGAAACAGAATTAACTATAAGGATAGCTGTTTTATTGCTCGCATAGCTAGCGTTAGCCTGTTGATTAATTGGGATCTTTAAAGGATAGTGGGGGTCTTAGTTATCCAAACTAACCTACCGTAACCTATCCTAGATTGCTGAAGTATATTCAGCATCCTAGTTAGCTGTACAGGCTATCTACCCTTAACCTCTTTGTTGTTTAGAGCGCATTTGCGTGGGTTTAGGGCAGCGAACGAGGTTCACACGGGCGTTTAGGTGACGATTAACCTACCGTAACCTATCCTAGATTGCTTGAAGAATATTCAGCATCCTAGTTAGCTGTGCAGGCTATCTACCCTTAACCTTTTTGTTGTTTAGAGCGCATTTGCGTGGGGTTAGGGTAGCGAACGAGGTGCATACGGGTGTTTAGGTAACGATTAACCTACCGTAACCTATCCTAGATTGCTTGAAGAATATTCAGCATCCTAGTTTGCTGTGCAGGCTATCTACCCTTAACCTTTTTGTTGTTTAGAGCGCATTTGCGTGGGTTTAGGGTAGCGAACGAGGTTCACACGGGCGTTTAGGTGACGATTAACCTACCGTAACCTATCCTAGATTGCTTGAAGAATATTCAGCATCCTAGTTAGCTGTGCAGGCTATCTACCCTTAACCTTTTTGTTGTTTAGAGCGCATTTGCGTGGGGTTAGGGTAGCGAACGAGGTGCATACGGGTGTTTAGGTAACGATTAACCTACCGTAACCTATCCTAGATTGCTTGAAGAATATTCAGCATCCTAGTTAGCTGTGCAGGCTATCTACCCTTAACCTTTTTGTTGTTTAGAGCGCATTTGCGTGGGGTTAGGGTAGCGAACGAGGTGCATACGGGTGTTTAGGTAACGATTAACCTACCGTAACCTATCCTAGATTGCTTGAAGAATATTCAGCATCCTAGTTAGCTGTACAGGCTATATAGGCCTACCCTTACCCTCTTTGTTGTTTAGAGCGCATTTGCGTGGGTTTAGGGTAGCGAACGAGGTTCATACGGGTGTTTAAGTAACGATTAACCTACCGTAACCTATCCTAGATTGCTTGAAGAATATTCAGCATCCTAGTTGGCTGTACAGGCTATCTACCCTTAACCTTTTTGTTGTTTAGAGCGCATTTGCGTGGGTTTAGGGTAGCGACCGAGGTTCATACGGGCGTTTAGGTAACGATTAACCTACCGTAACCTATCCTAGATTGCTGAAGTATATTCAGCATCCTAGTTAGCTGTGCAGGCTATCTATCCTTAACCTCTTTGTTGTTTATAGCGCATTTGCGTGGGGTTAGGGTAGTGAACGAGGTGTATACGGGCGTTTAGGTAACGATTAACCTACCGTAACCTATCCTAGATTGCTGAAGTATATTCAGCATCCTAGTTAGCTGTGCAGGCTATCTATCCTTACCCTCTTTGTTGTTTAGAGCGCATTTGCGTGGGGTTTAGGGTAGCGACCGAGGTGTATACGGGCGTTTAGGTAACGATTAACCTACCGTAACCTATCCTAGATTGCTGAAGTATATTCAGCATCCTAGTTAGCTGTGCAGGCTATCTCTCCTCAACCTCTTGGTTGTATAGAGCGCATTTGCGTGGGGTTAGGGTAACGATCGGAGCGTAGCAAGGTTTAGTTTGATCCTATAACCTTTGATACCGATCCTAGTTTGCTCGAAGAACATTCAGCATCTTAACTAGCTGTACAAGCTATCGAACCTAATTTTTGAAATAGACTCTAACGCGAGAATTGAATTAACAGATAACACGACACATAGATTATACAAGACAACGTTTTCTTCCGCGTCTGGTAGGGTAACGATGATGAGTGAATAGCGACAACTGGTTCGCACATTTCACTGAGTTACCCTATCATTTCAATAAAGGATTTTGATTAAACACAGACGATCGACACTTTAGATTATTTGAGACGAAATTAATATTGAGTGGAATTTCAGAACAACAATATTTTGTTGGTTCACATCGACCCCTGGAAATTTAAACCCAGCATCGCTGAACTATTTTGGCAATAGGATAACGAAATCGACACACACACAGAAATTCCCTCACACCACTTACAAAGTTTAAGCGGTTATAGGGAAAGCAATCATGCTTTCCACTTGATTCTACCTTTAAAAAAAGAGCTAAATCGCTGAGGTTTGCCAAAACGTAAATCAACTTCAACATATACATTAAGCAAACGAAAAGTAGTGGGGAACCTCCTCTCAAACCTCTTAGATTTTGTGAACAAACTAGTTTGAAAGAACGTTAGCTCCTCTAACCAAGCATGCACACAAGGTAGTTTAGTCTAACAGGGTGTCTAGTTTATTTCCATTATAAAATTCAAGACTAATTCCAGACTTTTCAAGACTAATTCCAGACTTTTCAATACTAATTCCAGATCTTTCAAGACTAGTTTTTTCAACAATTAGTGGGTGATGATACCAAAATGTATCGATTCTCAAATCTTGATACGGATACCAATTTTTATAGCTTAACCAAATTTTCTAAATAATACTCCACCAACCCCTGTCTTTGTAAAAAAAGTAGTATTATGATAATGTGGAGTTTTCAAGAAATAATGCATCAATAAAAAATTCTATCTAGCAAATTTGGTTGTTTTTTTATCATGAAATCTTCCGCGTACCGTACATTTAGACATCATCACTGACTGCAGCGGTTACAGAAACGTGATCGTCGTCCGCGATCGCGGCAAAATCATGAATATTTCCCGCGGCTGTTTAGACATCACCGTCGTCTCCCACGGTCACGGAAACGTCATCGTCATCTATCGCGGTCACGGAAACGTCATCGTCATCTATCGCGGTCACGGAAACGTCATCGTCGTCGTCCTCGATCAAGGCAAAATCATGAACATTTCCCGCGGCCGAGTAGAAATCATCGTCGTCTCCCGCGGTCACGGAAACGTCATCGTCATCTCCTGCGGTCACAGAAACGTCATCGTCATCTCCTGCGGTCACGGAAACGTCATCGTCGTCGTCCGCGATCACGACAAAATAATGAACATTTCCCGCGGCCGAGTAGATATCATCGTCGTCTCCCACGGTCACGGAAACGTCATCGTCATCTCCCGCGGTCACGGAAACGTCATCGTCGTCGTCCGCGATCGCGGCAAAATCGTGAACATATCCCGCGGCTGTTTAGACATCAACGTCATCTCCCGCGGTCACGGAAACGTGATCACCGTCGTCCGCGATAGCGACAAAATAATGAAAATTTCTTGCGGCGTGTAGACATCATCATTGACTCCCACGGTCACGGAAACGTCATCACCATCTCCTGCGGTCACGGAAACGTCATCGTCGTCTCCCACGGCCACGGAAACGTCATCGTCGTCTCCCATGTTTCGGAAACGTCATCGTCGTCTCCCGTGGTTTCGGAAACGTCATCGTCGTCGTCCACTATCGCGGCAAAATCGTGAACATTTCCCGAGGCCGTGTAGACATCATCATCATTGGCTTTCGCGGTTACGTAAACGCAAGACGACAATCACGGCAAAATCATGAAAATTCCCGACTTTAAAATCAAATTTAAGACTAAACCCCGACTTTTTAAGACCATTTTGAAATTCAATGCTAATTCCCGACTTTCCCGACTTTCCCGATTTTCCCGACTACTAGACACCCTGGTCTAAGATAAAGGACCTAAACAATGAATAAAGGTAAATAAAGTTGTAGGATAAAGGTAGTGGGGGACACATAGTTTTTGGTATGTATAATGTACATGTACACAGTGTAGATTGTACCACCGATTAAAGACAGTACCTATGGAGTCATCTGCCTGGCTCACTTACTTTGCGTCGTCTGCCTGGCTTGTTTGTTCTAGTGTTTTGATATGTGTGACCACAAAATAGGAAAATATTGTTTCTGCACCCCATGCCATTTTTGGAGTGAGAAGAAAAGACCGCCTTTTCAGGCTTTTCATATGCTGCTAAATGCCCGAAGTATTCCAGAAATTTTTATACGTAAAACAGGTTGACATTTAACTACACTCGACTACACTGTATGAAACTGAATTCTTAGAAAGGTCCTAAAACCAGTAGCTAGCATTAGATTATTCATGACATACCTTGAGGTGTTCCTCTAGTGCAGGGAACATGTGCAGCCGTCGGAACGGAGGAGTGAAGTCAACCTCTACCTCCTCACCTCCCTCTCCTTCAGGATGGTACTTGACCTTGTACGAACCTGTCACGTTCTTCACCAGACCTGTGACAAAATGAGATATTTGGCAAATTGAAAACCATTGCAGAACTAAATACCACACCTTGATTTTGTGCAGGTCTGTAGTTGTTGCATGAATCTGTAATTACATTGCTGTTGATCCATTGACAGACTAAGGCCAAACAAAGTTTAAGCATATAGAAAATGTATTGAAGGTAAAGGCCACAAGTATGATTGGTACAAGTAAAATTTTTGTTTTTATTCACACCTTAAAATGTTACTATATGGTGGTGTTACATAAATTAACAATATGTTTATAGTATTCTCATGGGAGTGAGATGAAATTTTTATTGCACTTACAGTAGACTTTCACTCACCTGATATAAGGCTCTCAGTGATGGTCATGAGGTCGTTGTAATCTGCATAGGCCATGTAGAACTCACAAGTGGTGAACTCTGGGTTGTGTGTCAGGTCAATGCCTTCGTTGCGGAACTGTCGGCCAATCTCGTACACTCGATCAATGCCTCCCACCACCAACATCTGCATAGATTGACAAATAGGTTATATTATTGTGAAACGTGATAAGCTTAAAGATACAACAATTTGAATCCTAACCTATTTATAAATAGCTCAAATTATGATTTAGGTAGAAAAATTACTAGCTCTCAGAGGACTGTAGTAGCAAAATATCATGGCGCAGCAAAGGTGTCTTTTTGACAAAAAAATCCTTGTTGAAAATACAGTAGAACCTCAATAAACCAAGGGCGGATAAATCAGGCAGTGGATTAACCAATAGATGCCTCTAAAACTATGCTACATAACTTCATTGTCCAAGAAAAAACCAAGAAAATTTTATAAATTGTGTTATTTTAGTCTAATGGGTTGAAATGCATTGTATATTTAACTATTTCAACCAATTATCGGCAGTAGGCTCCCACATTATTGGTTTTTAAACATCACACTTCATTTGACAAAAATAAAATGGAAGCAAAACAAATAAATATTGATCTATAGCTTCAAGGTCAAGTTATCTGCCGTCTGCTTCTTAGACATCTGTCTGCTGTGCGCTTGCTACTTGCTATGTCACAACTGTTTGTGATTGGGTAATTTCTTAATTTGTAACCATGGCAACTTTAGTAGCCTGTGGTTGGGTGATTAGTAAATATTAACCATGCAACTAGTTGAATGTGTGGATGGAGAGAACCCTAAGAAAAAATAGAATTACAAGGAGAAAGAATAATCGATCTTTTTATGTCATTGTTATCTTTATCTTATTATTTTACGACTGTTGTTATTATGTTTAGGTAATAAGATTCTATACTATTTTATTAGTTAAAAATCTTTTTATCAACATTCTTCTGTCCTGAAACAGTCTTTAGCCTATGACTAGCAGTAGCTTGCTAGATTTTTAATTGTTCTGCTCTTTAAATGCAATTTATTGCTGTTAGTTTTGTCATTTTGTTGTAGTAAAAGTTTTAGTAAGCTGTGAATTTAAACAGTTTTTATTACTGAACCAAGGTTAAACGTGGTTACCCGTAGTCTCCCTTCCCCTACCCCCATTACACCATATAATCGAGGTTCTAATTAATTAACACAGCATGTGCCAATCAAATACTCGTTTACCTTATGGTAGAGCTCGGGCGCCACCCGCATGAACAGGTCCAGGTTGAGATCGTTGTGGTGAGTGACAAAGGGCTTGGCTGCAGCTCCACCCGCTATCATGTTCATCATCGGAGTCTCCACCTCCAGAAATCCGTGGGAGTCTAGGAAGTGGCGGATGTACGAGATGATCTTGGCTCGCACAATGAACTTCTGACGCACCTTCTCATTCAGGATCAGATCCAGATACCTCTGACGGTACCTTGTTTCCTGATACCAAGTTCATCCATGTTACAAAGACGTTTCAAAGCCTCAATTGTAAATTGCAACTTTATCTTTACAGGCTGATTTAATTAAAGAGAACTAAACTGCCCTGTCTTAAGAGAAGCTTTTAAAACCTTAAATCAAGTTTAGGCCTACTCACATTTAGGGGTGTGCGAAGCAGCAAAAAATTTTTGCAACAATTTGATTCAAAAGATTGTTGATTTGAATCGATGCAACTCGATTCGAAGCAATACGGCATTTTTCTATTCATACTTGTCAATGGAGTGAAATAACAATTTAGGCTAAATAAAATTTACCACATTTGTGTAATGCAAATTTTTGTTGATGTGGTATTAGGCCTATATCATTGACTATTAGATACAGAAGTTGTATTAATACTAATAGTCAAATACTATATTCATACTTTTAAATAACTCGTACTGTGATCATGGCCTTAGTGCCGAAATACGTATCAGTTTAAATAAAAATGAATTTCAGGGTACTATGGTTGTTATTATTTCGCTTATTAATTGAAAAAGTAGCCCTAAAATGTGAACAGAACTATAAAAAAATAAAATATATATATATATTAAATATGTGTAATGTGTATATATATATATGTGATTTTTATGTCAAAAAATATTTATTTTTAATCATACATTAGAAGAACCTGTATTGCTGGAAAATGTCAGTGAGCTGCTTTACTTGCTTATTTCATAATTTTTACTTGCAGAATTATATAGTTAAGCATGTTACCTATTTTGTAATTTTCTTTTTACAAATAAAGATATGTTTTGGTGTAAACAAATAAAACATTTTACAAGATTTATACTGAAACTTTCAATTGGTTTATGTTTACGCAGAGGAAACGCGTCCGGTAACCGGACGTGGATTAGGCGTCCGGCAGTTACTGTCATAACCTAACCTAACCAACCAAACTTGTTGATAGTGAAAAAAATCAAATTAAGGTTCAATTCTCTTCATAACATAAAATTATAAATGCCAAAAATTCGAACAAAAGATGTACTGTTAAGAAGAAATTACATTCAAAGCAAAATCTGTGACAAAAAGTTACAGTAACCGATGGGTTTCGGACCGGGGACCTCCCGCATATCAGTCGAGCACTCTATCCACTACACCACGAACACTGATGACTGAACATCGTATCATTGTGGTAATGGCGTTCCGGGACCCCCTACCGGACGTCTAATCCACGTCTGGTTACCGGACGCCTAATCCACGTCTGGTTACCGGACGCGTATCCTCTGTGTTATGTTTATATTGATAAATAAATCAGACCTAGAAACTACAAGGTGTACATAGCACACCTACAAAAATACCAATTTATCAGTCTAAAACATCAATCTTACAAGTTAAAGATCAAGTAAGAATTTTTCAGACTTGTGTTATTTTTAGAATGATTTTGGAGTGATTTATTTTGGCTATGTTTACAGTAGTAAAACATGTCTCACACTGCTTGCAAAGCAGCTTAAAACAAAGCAAAGCAGCTTGCTTAACAAAGCTTGTAAATCTTCATTCTCATTGGCAACGTCATAACAAAAATTATTTAACGATTAAAGCAATATTTACAAACAAAGAATTAATTGAATAAGAATGCCTTCGCAAATGAAACGCAACAACAACGTCCTCCTGTATTGCGGGTATTGCATTGACTTTCTGCAGGCTTTTATCGTATATGAATACTGGCTCCCTCATGAATTGATTTGTTTTTTTGATCACCACTGAATCGAATCGTGATTCAATGCATCGAATCGGAATTTCAATGCATCGCACACCCCTACACTCACGTTCGAAATAGAGAATGCACTAACTTGTAAAAATGTCCAAAGATTTGATTTTTTAACAGACTGAATTACTATTACAATCTGCTTGTTTGGAACTGGACTGTCTTTATACATTGTAACTAAAATTGCACTGTAATTGCATGCTTGAGGCTTTATTCGATAACATAGATGATAGAAAACAGAGATCAAGCTGCAAAATATAATAGTCACTTGAATGGTAATTGAGGTTAAATCCACAGTTAACTGTTGAACAAAATTTTTACATGTACAACTTAAAAGGCAATTTTATCTATGGAGCCAAAATTGAATATACAGAATTTCCACTGTTTAAAAATGATGATAGGTCTAATCCTAACCAAACTAATTGAATTAAAGTTAGGCTATAAATACATTTCTAGCCTAAATTTGTGTAAAGAATTGTGATTTTAATGTTAGGCCTAAGCTGGATTTAAATATTTTCAATTATTTTAAATTAGTTTGTAAGAGTTGAGTGACAACCAAAGAATAATCAGATGGAATCATATAGTTCAGCTGATAGTGTATATTTCAAATTAGCAATGGAGAGGGTTTGACATATTTTGTGGCTTTGAATTTAAACTGCCCAACTATGAAACAGAATGTACAAGCTAACCTTGTCCTTGAGTCCGTAGTGCAGGTGAGGCAGCATGTGCAGACATGGGGACAGCAGTGTGATCTTCTTGGGAATGATAGACAGTTCTCCCTTCTTGGTCTTGCCAGGATGTCCTGACACTCCAATGATATCACCTCGTCTAAGCTTGTCTGTGTCAGTCTCAAACGCTGGCTCTGACTCGTACAGTCTAGCATTGGCCATCACCTGGACAAAAGATAACATTAAGTTTGTCAGATAGCCTATACAAAACCAATCAGGATTTTAAGTAAACACTGGATTGAAATAGGTTCTAACTTCTAATAACCACTTGTAATTTTATAGAGTTTAAACTTATCACCTAAAAAAGTAGACCTGAATGCTCACTGAATGTAGCTGTCCACTGGGCTTTTGATCAATGATCTTTACTATAGGAATCAACTGACCTAAGATTATAGCTACACAAGTGCGCTCACTTAATTCTTTTTGTTTAGAATGTGCAGCCACATACTGCTGGAGAACATTAAATACTATACAAACTCAAAGCAAAGTTTTATAAGATCTGGAATGAATCTGGTTTTACATACCAGTAGCTTGTAGTAAAAGTAGTATTTTAACAAACTAATCTTACAACTTTACATACGTAGTCTTAACTGAGTACAAATACTAAATAAGATAACAAAAGTGTTGAAGAGGGCATTAAGTGATTGTTTACCTGAATCTTCACACCCTCCCCTCGCAGATCATAGAACAGCAGCTTCGCCCCGGACACTCTGATTGAATGGACCCGGCCTAAATAACAGAGTAAAATGAATTAGGGGTTATTTTGAATGGTAGTCCTATAACAAAGATTTTACTACTGGTACCAACTACTACTACTACTATTACTACTACTGGAACCGTCTATACTACCTACCTAGTATTTAATTTCCGGAGGTACTATAACCACAAATATTGTAGTATGTTATGTTTATAAAAATATGTGACCCTATTAACATACAACCATGATTATTTATGAATAAAGATTTTTTATTTTGACTATGACTTGGTTTTCATACCGGGCAAGAATTTTTCTTTCTATAGATCTGCACTAAATATTTTTAAGCCATTCTTCCATTAAGTCTGTGAATTCTATGCATTTTTTATTCACACTATCCCAATTTCCAGTAATTCCAATAATTGAAGAGCCTGAGTAGGCTAGTAGGCCTACTTACTTATATGTTGATTTACAGTATTCTGGTTTTTGTTTTGGTCAGTGCTATCACTGATGTTTTCTGTTTTCCTAATTCTGATAACATACCTGCCACGCTCAGAGTTACATCTTCAAGAACAGTCCCACTATCTAGATTATTGTACTTTTCTATAAATTCTTCTAAAGAAATTGTCACATTGTATTTATGAGGATATGGATGTTCTTTGCTCTGTTTTAGCTGAGCAACTGCTGTGCTTCTTAACTTAAAATATTCCTATAACAAAGAAAAAAGCACATTATTATATTACTGTACACTTTAATTCTCTAAACATGTTCTGTAAAGAAAATCAACAAGCCCGTTGTAAATAAGATAATCTGTAGCCTATAAGTAATTATTTATTATATAATTTAAGTTAGTTCTCAAATAAGCTAGCCTACTACAAATACAATATTTTTAATTTTCTTAGGTAGCTCTTTTCTGATTCACTTTTGTATCAACCACTATTGGCAGCAGAATAACAGATAGGCCTAATACAATTTGAATCTTTAAGGCCTGTTGTCCAAGAATGCGTCCGTTGCGTCCGATGCTGAGAAATAGACGCTGGCGATGGACGCTCAGTGACTGCTAAGCATTGATTTCAATGGGCCCGTTGTCCAAGGAGCGTCTGATGTCTGACGCGGGGCACTTCTCTGGGAGCAGACAGCAATAGACGTAATGGCCAGCGTCTATTACGTCTATTGAAGTGTTGTGCTTGTGTTCTCCCGTGCGCTCAAGTTTATATTTACTGTTAAGCGAACATTTTCATGTTGAATTATAGCTAGTGCATATACAAGGCTTTAACTTTAATGTAATTTTAACAAACTTGAAAGTTTTTTTAGAATTGTTTAGGTTTAAGCCTTTAAAATTTAGATTTAAAAAAACTCCAAACTTGACAGTACCGTAAAAGCTAACTGTCACGGAGCACAAAACCGGCCTAGGTAAACTAGAATTTAACAGTCAGCAACCAACTGTCGATGCCCATCGATCATCACCCGCGATAATCGCTCTGCGACGGATGCAAAAGACGCACCTTGGACAACGCACCTTTAAACTTATACCATAACGATTTCGATTTTTTTTATGGATGAGTCTGTAAATGAATAAAAATATTTGAGATAGGCCTAGCTTACTCTGGTAATTTGAATAGGCCTACAGTCTGCACCCAACTCAGTCTGGTCAAAATTAGGCCTTAAATGGGTTTTTTTTCATTTAGATACGGTAAATATTTTATTTATATCTGATATAAAATATAAATATTTTATTTATATTTTAGATTTGCTTTCCTTACATTGGGACTTATCTCCTCCTCGGCAGCAAGGTCTTTCTTCTTCTCTGACGGACCTCCAGCGGATTCTTTTTCTGCTGCTTTAGCTTGGACTTTTTCTGCCTTCTCTTTAGCCTTTTGCTCAGCTTTTAGCCTTCTCTTCAATTCACTGAAAACAACAACAGTGAGACAGTTTATTTGTGTTGTAATGAGATAGGTAATAACCTAAATGTAAAATTATAATAGTCTAGCATAATGAGAAACCCCCTGATAAAGTATCAGGCATATTGTTTACCTTTTTTTTGAAGTGTAGAAAACTCACAAAACTGCACACTGTATTTCAAGCAATACTCAGAATTAGATATTAAAAGACCATTGAATCTTATCCTACAGTACACCACTTTAATAATAATGTACACAAATTAATTGAGATGACAAACTAGGTAATGACAGACAAGTCACATACAATAGGCCTACATGTGCATAAAGGAAAATAAGTTAAACAGTAAGTATGCGACGATGTTTTCTGCACTGGGAAAATAATATTAAAAGTGCAGTGCAGTCGCAACCGTTTGCCGGGGATAGCTCAGCCTACAATGGCTGGGTAAAGTTCCAGGGTCTGCGATAAGGTTAGGGAAACCACTAGGCCAAAAGCCGGGTCTAACCGGTATAGGACTGGCTCACACACGGGCACTGTGAACAAGTCAAAAACAAGTCACCAAAACAAACGTGCAATAATCACTACCAGGCCTACGCCGATTCTCCACACTCCTAGGGGGTCGTTGCTGACTACGCAACTCGGGCTTCGTCCTAACTATCCAATAGTTAAGCCCAGAGTGCCTAAAACACGGTGAGTTACACGACGACTTGCCAATAAAAACCACAACGCGTGTTATCACCAGGCGGGGTCTACTAGGCCACTATAATCCAATACACAACTCTAATGCCCAAGCTAAGAATCAAACAGTTCACTCAATAATCGTACCACATAATAATATACAAGTACACTATAGGTAGAGTGACTACACCGCTAGTAGCTGGTCTCAATAAATACCAAGCTAAACAAGCAAAACTAAATGGCAATTGCACTATTAAAATTATTGAGCAACTTAGTAGCAGATGAATAAATATTAACTACGTTCCAAACACTAGATAAATATATTATCTGATAGCCGGTACTCCGCTATCCAAGCTACCAAGATAACGTGTTGGACTACCATTAAATTAAAATAATCGAATGAATATACAATAACAACCCTACTACTGTTACTGCTACTACCAACTTTATGTTACTTAGCTGGGCTTCTGTTAATAGGCTAATAATATTAGCTACTAGCCTACTGGCCACGTGTTTCCAACTACGCACGCTAAATCGTGCAACCTAGGTTTGTCGGGCCTCAGAGTTATTAGTAATATAACTAACTCTTGGTACAACGCAAAATAATAACTACTACAGTCAATAAATTATATTATTTGCGCTCTAGCACCTGCCCAGAACCGTCAGGAATATACTTTAATATTATTCCTGACTAATAAATAAATCCTAACTATCGTCAGGCTTTGACTAACACGGTTACAACTCTAACTCTCTAACTCTCTTAAACCAAAATATAATAAAACGTCGTCCACTCACCACAAGTGGGTTACTGACTCACTACCCAACTTGAATGCCGACACTCACTCCTTGAGCACCAATATCACACGACACCGTACACTTCTCTGTACCACCCACGTACGCCGGCCGTCTCCACTGGACACCAACACTGCCTTCTTCACTGTCCGGGATCCACCACTAGAATGTCCTTCCTATACTGTCCTGAAGATCTAAGATATCCCAGGCTTATCGGCACTGATAAGCCGGGTCAAAGGGCACTCGCTAGCCTCGCTGCCGCCGCTCGCTCACCTCAACAATCGGTGCGCGGCCAAATAGCAAAAATATACCCCCCTAGGGAAAATAACTCGTTACATCCCCCACTTACATCGGGATGAAAAAAAAGAAAACGGCCAAAAAGAAAAAAAAATCTTTGAACTCCGGCCAAAACAAAATACTCCGGCTCTTAACCCAATGATTCCTCTTTTACCACGGGTCTCAAAGCAAAACAAAGAAAAACTCTTCTACTCGCCACTACCAGCCAACGTGGTGCTGAATGATTTGGCATCAGAAACCAGACGGTGATTTCCATTGCAAGGGCCTTCGGGGTCTTCGTCACCAATTTTGACACTGTCTATGCGGCCCACTTGACCAGAACAGTCCTCACCCACTCCCATTCTTATCACCTCCGTCACGACCGTCACAAGTCCGAGATCTCGTATGACATCCATACCCAAAATCATATCCGTGGTAAGAGTGGGAACGTACAAGGCGTCTCCAACCCACCGTCTTCCCGCAGCTTCTCCTGCCAATCGGAATGAATACTTGGCCCTAGATCGTGACCCATCTGCCATCCTTAGAGGAGAGGGTTTCTTAAAAGGTTCTACCCCCTGGCGTTGAAGATGATCGGCGACTTCTCGCCCAACCAGGTTAACTACGGACCCAGTGTCCAATAACGCCTTAAAAACGCTGCCCATCAGCACAACTTCAACAAAGGGCCTTGTCTCCGAAACCAGCCGGTTCTCGTCTACTCCACCAACCAGGCTGTTTAGTTTTCCGAGCCACTCGGACCACTCTTCTGAGGTCGTTCGTTTTGGGTGGCCTTGCCCAGTTGACCTCCTGATGTCTGAGCTGGCCTGCCGTTTCCCGCCCGACATCCACATTGATTCACCGTCAAACCGGGTTTGCCACATCCATAACAGGAGACGGTCCTTGGTTTACCACATTCTCGGGCAAAGTGACCAATCTCCTGGCACCTAAAACATTTCACCGTCCCCTTTGGACCCTCAGGCGCTCTAGCTGCTGTCACGGACCGTTGACCGTGGACCCGATCCAACTTCGAAGCCACCCGCCCAAGCGACTCAGCTGCCGGAGATGGTCTCTCGAAACTCCGCTTCTCGACTGCGGCAGTTTCGGAGCGCTTCTCCACCTTCTTTTTGGGTGCGTAGGCGGTTTCCAAAACCAGCGCTACGTTCGGTGAAGGTGGAGGCCGGAAGGCTGCCTTCTCTCGCAGATAGGCCTCGTAATCTTCGGCCAACTCAACCATCTCGGCCAGGTTCCTGAAGTCACGCCGGCGTACCATGAGTTTGTACTCAGGTCGCAAGTTATTGTAGATCAAGTCCAATCTACCATGCTCCGACAACGTACCGCTACGCCTAAGCAAGGTACTTATGGCAACAACGTAGTCCCGGAAGTGCTCGCCTTCACCCTGTGTCCTTTTCCGGATCTCCTCATCCAAGTTCCTCCAATATCCTGGTGGGAAGAACTGGATTTCAAACTGACGCCGGAAAGCTTCAAAGGAATACAGGAGCTCCTTGCAATTCCTGTACCATAGAAGCGCTGAGCCTTGCAACAGCTCCGGCAGCGCTCTGAGCAGGTCCTCTGATGTTATAGAGTACGCGACCATCAGCTCTTCAAGGCGCTCCAGGAATGACACTGGGTCTCGTCGACCATCAAACCTCAAACCCCACTTCCGTACCATGTTGCATACTTTGGAGCAATCCTTCGGCTCCACCCTGCTGTCCTCATTCAAAAGCATATCCGAGCCTCGTGGCACCTCCAAGCTAGAAGGACGGACTGGTCTCTCTGAATGATCGTTAGGTCGCTGCCATCCCTCGGGTCTACTTGGTAACCCAAAGGTAGGCGTGGGAACAGCCACAACAGGGGACGTAGGGTTGGCGGGTCTTCCGAACCCATAGCCAACCTCATTACTCGGCGAGCCTCTCGCCTGTCGCACCACCGATGCCAGATATTCTCGAAGAGTCCGGGTATCAGTCTCCAAAGACAACCCAAGAATCTCTTTAACCACCTCTAACTCCCTGCTAAGTCCCACTATCTCTGCTTGATTCGATTCCGCATTACCCAGTACCTGAGGTACGGTTCTCGGGGGGTCAGGAAGCTCCACAGTTGTAGTAGCGGGCGGTAAATATGTCGGTGCAGCAGCCCCAGCTGTACACAGCCTATCATCGCTGTACCGACGGGCATTCCGCTGCTTCCAAAACGACGAGAATCGCTGCCGTAATTCCGCAGAAGTACCAGTGGTCACCAAACCATACTGGTCCATCGTTCTCATGAGCTCCCCTTTCGAGAGGTCATAGATCCAACCCACGCGACTGTCCCGGGGCTGCGACCCCAAGGACATAGTCGCTGGCGCGGAATAGGTCAACGAAGTTGTCACCGTCGTAGCCACTACTGAAGAAATTGTCGGCCAAACGGGCGAAGACGCCGGCCACAATGACGATGTCGTCATCACCGACAGTTCGGAGCTAACCCCAGAACTCGTCGTAGCAATAGCAGACGTAATAGGCGTACCGCCCAGCACAGACGTCGTACTCGTAGTCACAACCATATTTAAAATTCAAAACACCACGACAAATCCGCAAAAATAAGGGCGTAACCAATTAAAATATATTTAACACCGTTATAATAAATCAAACCAATTATAGGTGTGAAAGTCAAACCACAAATACACAATAAGGGTTCTCACTCAAATAATATTCAACACTAAAGCTCAATTAATTAGCAAAATAATATTTATAAACTAATATCTACGTATACAACCACTAAATAAATTAGGGTTCACAACACACCACGCTGTAACAGAAAACAGGTTAGGCCTACCCAACCGACTATAAAATCACAGCAGGTCTGCCTAAAACTCTGCTCAACAGCTCAGGTCCGCAGCCAATCTGCACAAGTCCGCAGCAAATCTGCACAAATAGAATTATTTTGTTCGGGCGCCGTTAATACGTCAGCAACTCAGCACCACTGCCAACCTCAGTCCCTGTTCGCAGGCGCCATCTTGCGACGATGTAACCGGTATAGGACTGGCTCATACACGGGCACTGTGAACAAGTCAAAAACAAGTCACCAAAACAAACGTGCAATAATCACTACCAGGCCTACGCCGATTCTCCACACTCCTAGGGGGTCGTTGCTGACTACGCAACTCGGGCTTCGTCCTAACTATCCAATAGTTAAGCCCAGAGTGCCTAAAACACAGTGAGTTACACGACGACTTGCCAATAAAAACCACAACGCGTGTTATCACCAGGCGGGGTCTACTAGGCCACTATAATCCAATACACAACTCTAATGCCCAAGCTAAGAATCAAACAGTTCACTCAATAATCGTACCACATAATAATATACAAGTACACTATAGGTAGAGTGACTACACCGCTAGTAGCTGGTCTCAATAAATACCAAGCTAAACAAGCAAAACTAAATGGCAATTGCACTATTAAAATTATTGAGCAACTTAGTAGCAGATGAATAAATATTAACTACGTTCCAAACACTAGATAAATATATTATCTGATAGCCGGTACTCCGCTATCCAAGCTACCAAGATAACGTGTTGGACTACCATTAAATTAAAATAATCGAATGAATATACAATAACAACCCTACTACTGTTACTGCTACTACCAACTTTATGTTACTTAGCTGGGCTTCTGTTAATAGGCTAATAATATTAGCTACTAGCCTACTGGCCACGTGTTTCCAACTACGCACGCTAAATCGTGCAACCTAGGTTTGTCGGGCCTCAGAGTTATTAGTAATATAACTAACTCTTGGTACAACGCAAAATAATAACTACTACAGTCAATAAATTATATTATTTGCGCTCTAGCACCTGCCCAGAACCGTCAGGAATATACTTTAATATTATTCCTGACTAATAAATAAATCCTAACTATCGTCAGGCTTTGACTAACACGGTTACAACTCTAACTCTCTAACTCTCTTAAACCAAAATATAATAAAACGTCGTCCACTCACCACAAGTGGGTTACTGACTCACTACCCAACTTGAATGCCGACACTCACTCCTTGAGCACCAATATCACACGACACCGTACACTTCTCTGTACCACCCACGTACGCCGGCCGTCTCCACTGGACACCAACACTGCCTTCTTCACTGTCCGGGATCCACCACTAGAATGTCCTTCCTATACTGTCCTGAAGATCTAAGATATCCCAGGCTTATCGGCACTGATAAGCCGGGTCAAAGGGCACTCGCTAGCCTCGCTGCCGCCGCTCGCTCACCTCAACAATCGGTGCGCGGCCAAATAGCAAAAATATACCCCCCTAGGGAAAATAACTCGTTACAAGTACTTTTAGAATGTAACATAGCTAACTACTGTACTATGTTACTTTATGAAACACAGCACTCAATATACTAGTACCTAGGCCTACTCTTACATAGCCTAGAATAAAAAACACCTAACTGACAACCTAAAAAAAGCCGTGGTTTGGTTGGTAGAGAAAAAAAATCATGATTAAAATAAGAAATCAAGATGAAATTTGTTACTACAAATTGAGACCTACTGACTCATAACATCTAGTAGCCTAGCCTATTATTAAGTAGCTTTTGAAATTCCAAACTCAAAGAGGTTATCTAATGAAGAACTTCAACTGAGAAATTTCACACCCACCCTTTATATAAATTCGGGGCTGTGCTTATGTGTCGTAACAAGAAGCTTTTAGTGGCAACATTCTTTGTTTCTAAAAAGACCTGCCTCCATAAAGTCAGCATCATGTCCCTCACTCACTATCTGTAATGTAATGAAATATCAGATAATATCAGCAAACACTGTGAAAGAAACTGCTAGCCTATTGGAGATTAAGAAAATGTGCTGCCGCTTTGGAATATAAATATACTGGGGCTAAATGAGACTACATTAACTACTTTAGGACAAGTTACCATCAACGATCAATGAAACAACTTTCCTTTTAGTTAAAATTAAAATTTCCTTTTAATTTAGGTTCTCAGATTTAACTTACTTAAGTTACAGTAAGTTAGGCTAGCCTATATGAATGATTTGATTAACTTAAAGTAAAACGCTGAATAAGTTAAACAAATGATTGTAATAATCAATAAGTTAGGCTATCAATAAATTTAATGGAGTTGGATCAAAGTTTCATGGGCTAGGGCTGACTTGCTAAATGTTTGTACAAACTTGGTAAAATTAAAAAACTATTATAATACATTGTTTTACAAACTAAGGCTATATGATAGGATATCTAATACTTAATAACGAGAGATGAATGTTTATTTTCATAGAAATCCTAACCTATGCCCACCTTTCTGGTGAGCTCTAGACTAAACAAATATCTAAATAAATTGATTGTATAACATGATGGTTGTATGAACAAATTGGGTAGTTTTATTATTGTTGAGAGAACCTTAAATTAATATTAATATCAATTGTATGATGTAATAACAAATTGTATTTCCCAGTTTTAATACGGCAAAAACATAACCTATAAAGTATGTAATCGCTCAGGCAGGAGTTTCTTCAATATTGGCTACTGAAATATCTTGCCTAGGCTATACTACACAAAGCATATATGCTGAATACAAAATTCAGGCGTATATTTAATTTAGAAATAACCAGTAATTACAATTACCTTTTAGATAACTTCTCGTCACCACCCTCTGCCATGCTTCCGCACAACACGTACAACACAAGAAAGAAAAACAAGCAAGTGTTGCAAAAACATGTGTCTGTTGACGGCATTGCCAACGGGACATCACAAAAATTACGATTATACTCAGTAATCTTTCATTTTTTTGCTATAGCATATTCTGAGTTAGGATTTTACTTTTGTATGAAATCGAACTCTCAAACCGAATGCATTGACAGGCTGTGTTTCTAAATTTCTATTAACCTAGTTTTACAATCGTCCCACCAATCTGATACATTAACGCACAAAAACGAAAGATGAGCGATTAAGATTATGTGATAAAGATCAATGATGAGTCATAATGACAAGATCAATAATAATAGGCATAACGTGTGTGTGTTAAATTGTTTGATAATTTACAAGCCCACTACCCCACTACGATACCGCCACCTTTATCAAATGGATTAGTTACTGTAGTTAATGAATACCGTACTCACTTCAAACACATTTAGGCAGTCTACTGAGTTATGAATTAGTTTTATGGTTGATATCGATGTTTTAAAGTGGTGAATAACTCCCCCCTCCCCTAATGGTTGCTCTTTAGTTAAGAACTAGGCATATTTTTTAATTTTAAAATGAGTTAGGTATAAGTAATCGCCACGATTACAAACACAAACTACTGGTTTGTAGCATAGATAAAAGGAGTATACATATACTCCTTTATGTATGTCTATATTGTCTATATGCCTAAACTCCTTTTATCTATGTTTGTACAATCAGGATGACGTGTAGGAGGGACAGGATCATGTACAGGTTCCCAAGACACTGGAAGTCTCGCCACTACCTATACCGCACTACCACTACAGTAGACGTTTATGGTATTAAACTAAACTAATCAAAAGGCAATTAATTAATTGTTGAAATTACTATACAAAAGAAGCGACAGTGGTGGGGTAAGGTTTCTTTCGTGTACATTGCATTCCCATCGGGTTTGTTACTTTTAACTAATAGTCTACTATCCTTAAGTTCTGTAAGACAACATTTTTACCAGAAAATTGTGGACGTCTGGTGGAAGTCGCAGAAAAGTGGGAGGGGTCTTAAATTAAAGGTCTTGACCCAAGGGACTGGGGAAAAATAGCAGAATTCCCATAAAAATACCAGAAAACGAGATATAACGTAAAATATCCACCATAAGGATAGCACGGGGACTGAAAAACGTCTGCATTATAAAATCAGCTGTTACTTTATTTGCAATGTTTACATTTATTCTGAAAGTCAATGTTGTTAAATAGGTAATGTTTAAAAATGAAATGTATTTGTTTAATTTAATTTGTTTTCCATTTTTATAATGAGTAACTGGACATAGGGTAGGGGAATACCTGAAAGACGTGGAAGAGTATCCAGGAATTTTTTTGTTTTCCGTTGTTAATGAGTGAAGTAACTAGACAGGGTAAGGGGAAGACCTGCAAGACATGGAAGAGTACCTATCCAGGAATTCAACTGACAAAAGAAAGAGAACGTCATGTAAGTCCTAACTATGAAATAAATCCACAAGCTGGTTTTACAACCTACCTTCAGACTTGGCCACCTTTAACTACAGGCCGCGGCCTGATAGAATTCGCAACATCGCAAGTAGGGTTGTTTAGTGTCAGACATCCCTGTGAAATGGGCCTTAAGTTACTGTTTAAAAATTCAGGGACAATAAATTCATATAGATATATTTCTGACTTACTGCCGCGAAATGAGGAGTTACCTTCATATGGTCAATTGTGTCTAAATTAGAGGTCATGGTCCCTTCAGGCCACTAGTCCATACTATATAATACTACTGTACCAACATAAAAGTTTTGATGTTGTTGGGTTGAACTTTCAAGTATGGCTCCGAAACAATGGCATCAGTGCAAATTTTCCAAAAGCCCTACATTTCACCATGTGCAGTTTTTTATGTAATCTAATACCTTAAAATTAGAAAATAATACATTACTTAAATGATTTGTGAAGTACCGGTACTGTAGGCAAATTATCCCTAATTAAACATTAGTTTACCTGACTGCCTACCCTTGAGGTGGATGGACAGCCACAAAGCTCAACTTCTCTGAAAAATTTGTCCCCGTTCTATCATTGCTCTTAATTTCTTCAGATTTAGTTTTGCTATCCCCTTCCTTAAAAGGGGGTATATCTCCTTGCTTATGAGTAACATCTTTATCTTTTCCTCTCTCTACTTTACTGCTTTCTTGATTTCTTAAGCTATTGTTTATTTCTTCTGCCTTGAAGGTATTATTATTGATACTTTTTGCTGATTTACAATTTTGGCAGTTAATTTTACCAAACTTATTTTGATCAATATTGAAAACTTTGGTTATTGAGTCAAAACAGTCTCCTTTCTTGTTCGGAAGTTTTCTTGCTGGTGCTCCTTTTCCTAGGTCTTTCCTTAGGGCAGCACCTATATGTAATAATCTTTATTGTCAAAACTTAAAATAATCTCTTCAAACAGGCGTTGCTTGAGCACTAAAGTTATATATTTTAAAATTGGGTGTTAACAAGTTACTATAGTTTGACCGTTAGAAAGCGACCTGCGCGAAATATAGATACATTAAACTAGAACAAGAACCATTAACAACAATTTAAGATGGGATCATTCTGCAGTTACCGGTAATACCAAACCCATCCAGAAACCATTACTAATTATGTTGGTTTGACTTATATGATAGTTATTAATAATTTGTTCTTGAAACTTGGAATACCACGAATCAATAATTACTTGAGAAACAAGTTACATGTCACCCAAGCTCTAGAGCTGGCCACATAAAAAAATACATGTATAATTCTGGTAAGTTCAACAACATTCCATCTGCTTTTCCTGTGAAAAGACTGAAACCAAAATTAAACATTCAATAGTCTGTACACTGTACAGTATTCCAAAATCAACTTTTAAAATCCTTTTCTGGATGGAAACAGAAATAGTAGTTTCTTTTTTGAGTGAATTTGACTTTTCAGGACAAATCCAAAGGCAAACAATATGTAATATTTGAATATATTTTTGTAAATTGTTCAAAATAATATTTTTTTCATTTTAGAATACACTTTTAGCCACAGGCCGAATGCATTATTTCTACTTGACTACTAACACTACCAAGTCTACATCAAGTTTAACAGGTTTTTTTTTATATATTTCCGATTTTAAAGTTAAAATCATCAATGGTATGAGTGCACGCAACCTATAAGTGCAATGCAAAAGGATTATAGGAAATAGTTTAAGACTTACCATTTAAAGAACTTGATTTTAAGTCTCTTTTCCAATAAACATTCTTGCCATTTTTTGAAACTTGGAATTCCGATTCCATAGGTTTAATTGGTTGTTCAATTGAATAACCTTTAAATATGAAATTGTCCTGTTGTGGGTAAGATAGTTGATTTGTATTGCAGGCTCTTCCAAAAACGTTGGTATGGTTGATTGATCTATATCTCTCAGAGATCCTGTTAGTGTTTTTCTTCAATTCTTTACAATTGAATACATCAGTTGGAAAATCAAATGCTGTAAAATATCAATAGGCTTAGAAAATAAGAAAACCTAAAGACAAATAATACTTGAAAGGGATCCTGCAAGAGGTGGGGAAAGGGAGGTCATTTTATAAAACACCCCCACCTCAGCAAACCTGCAGACTTGGCGAATATTAATTTGCTTGATTGGATTTTACTCCTTAAAATTATCAGATTTATTCCCAGTTTCAATCACATTAATTATTTTAATGATTAACTTACTTAGGTTTGCTGCTACGGAGAAAGTAATGAGTATGTTTTATGTGAAATGTTGATAGCTTGGAAATAAATACATTTGCCAGATTTTATAGTTTTAGTGATTTTTTCCTATAGGGAATAAGCTATTAGTGTATGTCTCATGGTAAGACTTGTACCCTGAAAACCTCAAATGGTCATTCAGTGTCTCATATTATTCTGAACTTATCTAGAGTGGGGAAAAATTTTATGTCATCACTGTAGGACCAACACTATTGTCTGAAATCAATAGTGGACACCTTACAAGATCACCCATATACATATGAACATTTTGAACAAATTGTGTTTTTGACCTCTAGTAACATCATTGGCTATAACTTACACAGATAAATCAATATATCACAGATATAGTACCCATCAACATGAAAAAGTAAATCAGGCCCGTGTCTAGAACATACTGTGGCCATATGGTAATAGCTTACTCCCTATGGGAAATTTGATAAAGTAAAATAAACTTAAGTACCGGAACCTAAGTTTGGTAGGTAAACAGAAAAAAAACATCATTTAGGTAAAAAAAACCCTATATGTAAGCTATACAAAAAATAACCTAGAAATCAAGAAATATTTTTCTCCTAAAATCATGTTGACATGTTTATGTACTGAGCCACAGAGAAGTAGTATGGTGAAATTATAAATATATGCCTAAATTCTCTGCTAATAAATATTAATATTTCAAAAATGTTTTCATCAAACGATTTTCTTAAATTGTAAAATCAACATAGTAGCTACCAAAATTTGTCCTTTTTGTATTCATCTCAACTGGAGGGAACAAATTTATGGAGGGCGAAGAATCTGTAATTTGATCATCAATAAACATTCTTCTTGACAGTAGAAGATTAACTGTGTCATCTGCAAGTTTTAGACTGCAGCAGTCTTCAAGATTATTTGATAGACCTGGTAGGCAAATACTATTATTAGAAGTATACAAAATATAAGTTCAATATTTGATAATTGGCAATATTGTCATTATATAATGATCATGCTAGAGACCCGAACCTAGGTCTAGTCAATATAAAGAGAGTTTACAATATCCTCATTCCGTTTTAGTATTACTTAGATAAAACTAAAAGTTTCTTTTTACTTTTTTATGTGGTTAAAAAAAAAATCATACTGGTACCGGTATACTTAAAAACCTCAAATCTAGTAATTTTACAGTTTTACAATTTGTTCATTTATTGTTATTTATTATTGATTTTGGTTAGGGAGTTAAGCTATAGCAACTATAGTTACATTCCATTGGAGAAATAATTCATTTTAATTTAATTAATTTTAACTATGTGTGTGTACC